ATCTCAAGCCCTCTTGAGGCCTGTGTGTCTCTCTCTTTTTTAATGAGATTTTACAGCCAGCCTGTGTCACCCTGCCATGCAGCAATAGGGGTCTGACGGGGAACAAAGGAGTCCTCATAGCTGCGAGTATGGGGCACACACCTCCCACTCCTCTCGTTCACTCTGTTTCCTCTCTCTCTCTGTCTTTTTTCCTCTCACTTTCCCCCCTCACTCTGTTGGTTCCCATCTGGTGAAGGGGTATTGTGAGAGCTGAGTAAAAAAAACTTTATTAACTTTATAAGTTAACCTCAAGGAACATATTTATATAAAAAAAAAATCCATGTCATGACCCCTTTAAAAAAAATTATTTTAGTTTTATTTTCAAATGTTAATAATGACTGCTTAACGATTATGTTTTATCATTATTGGCCAGAATAATTTACCAACCTTAATTTCCTAATTATGTACTGTGCTGAATGCAGTGAATAGAAGCAGCTAGAAGCTTGCCATAAGCTACAAGATTGTTAATGTTGAACATGCATTAAAATGATACAAATCCTGTAATAGAAATTAACAGATGTGCCTGTTATATTCTGTCCCAGCAGAAGATATAGCAAGAACATGTATATATTTTGCTGGGACAGAATATAACAGACGCATTTGTTAATTTCTATTACATGGTTTTTATCATTTTAATGTATCTTCATGAATTCATATGAATTCCTCCAGCAGCTGTAACAGCTTGCCCTTCCTATCTCACAAGCAAGACTTTCCCCACCCACAAGATATCCTCTTCCAGCAGCTGAACATGATGTGAATCTTGATTACAGGAAGTGAATATGGGATGTCAGCATGCAGCACTGATGCAAAAACCCACCCAAGGCTATGCACAGAAACACCCACACACACACTCCTGCAGTCAGGTGGTTGAGCTGAGTGGGAAAGCCCAGATTCTCCCTCTGCTTTATATAACGTATATATCGAACGGTTTCATTTGTCTGTAGTGGGACTGAGGAAGTGGTAAACATCACCACATATCACTTGCGACTTAAACCACGACTACATAAAAATTCCGTTCCATTCGCATATATGCTCCTCTGGTGGAATAGACGAGATTTTAATGACTATGTGGAATAATTGATGAGGATACTGAGAGCTGGGCCAGTGGGGGAAGGGTCTTATTCGGTTTTAATATGAGAGCTCATTCATTCACTGTTTTTCCCCCTCACACATGAGATGGATTACATAGACATCCACCCTCACCTCTCCCTCCTTCTCCCAACGGAGAACGAAACACTGGATACGCCAACCAGTCGCCTGCCGCTGTCCATGAGGGGATCAGGAGATATTTATGGGTTGATGCAAGCCTTCAGGGCCCTCATGCAGGCCCCTGTCATCAAAGAGTGATTTCAGTCTCACTACACCACCCCTCTACGTCCCAAGAGACCACTGCAACACCTGCCCCCCACTAGTGGATGCACAAGTGCCTCCACCCACCAACAAAAATACATACACAAGCAAAAACCACACAGGTTTATATACTTACATCTATGCTGTAAAATAATTATTTAAACACCTTAGTAAAAAGAATGCTATTACAGTCTGTGTGCGCTCTTCATCTTTATTCTCAGTGTGACATTAGACAGATATAACTGAGAAGCTTGAATGAACACCAAGTGAGGTGGGTGTGGACAGCAATCTGTGCTGGACATCCGTGACGGTTACGGCTGACAGAACCGGAGTAAACACATGTAATAGGGTCACAAGTGATGGGCTCATTTTGGTTGTCCAATTAGCAAAAACAATAGCTCAACATGGAATCTGCTAACCAATAAGTTGTCAAGAAAACATCAAATTACTTTATTCTTTGATTTTGATCAATTCATATAAAAATATTATTTTATTTAACTTAGTAGTACTAGTCGTTCATTATTATAGAAGTTAATGGTTATTATTATAGATAGATAGATAAATAGATAGATTTGAAAATTGAAGAACTGAGAATTGAGAATTGAAAAAATTATTCTAACTTAACAGAATTCTTAACTAACTAAAAAATGATTCAATTCAGAACGTTTTTTTACTTGTTTGGTAATGATACACAACAACAGGAGGGCAGGTTTGTATTAGAAGGGTAGTAAGTTTCCTTCATGAGAGATGCTGATGAGAGACGAGTCTGAACACTCTCCTCTAAATAGCTTCTAAGTGCAGCCCCTCCTTCCTGCCTCCATTAGGAGGTTTGTGTGGTCAATAGGTTTTGCTGATCTCCCGGGACCCTCATATTGATTTTACTAGAGCAAGGAAAGGGCACAGAGATGCTATATGGGTGATGGATAACCAATGCTAGGGCTAAAAACTTTTAGATATGATTTACAAACATGCAGAGATACAGTACAGCAGCTGGACTAAGTACTTTGTAATCAGAAACCAATATTGGTTATAATTAATAATTAATGCATTTAACAGACGCTTAAAAGCGACTTACAGTGCATTCAGGTTCTACATTTTTTCCCTGGGAATCGAATCCACGACCTTTTGCACTGCTAACACAATGCTCTGAGCCACAGGAACATATGGTTACTATCTAGCTACAATATTGGCAGCAAATTTGACACAATTTCAAGCAGGGAGTCTTTGGCCTGCAAAGCTTAATGGAATCACAGTAAAACAAAACAGACAAGTCAATTTTGTTATAATTTTATATAAAAAAGGCTATATAGAGCATTTCAATTTCACATCAACATACCTCTCCATTTACAGTAACACAGCAAAAGAAGCCATATATTCACACTTCACTCTTAGGCAGGAAACAAGAATAAGGTACCTCAACATCATCAGGCAAATTACTGTAATTTTTGAAGATTTTTGAATACCTTTACACACAATCCTTGTGTCACTGAATATTGCAACAGTAGTGGGAAAATGCAAGGAGAAAAGAGTGAGGCAAGGGAGCGCTTCTCTAGCCACAGACAAAACACAGACCAGAAACAAAGGGGAAGGACAAAAAGAGAGGATTGACGTAAAGGATTCCCGACAACAACATACTCTCAAAAAGCAACCACTGGCAACCACACAAAACGACTACAGAGGTGCGGCCACCTGCGGAGCTGAGGACCCCGGTAAGAGTTTCACACAGGAAGCAGCTGCAGGCGGCACTTAAGAATCATTCTCTTCTGGTGAGTGGGTCCAGCGCACAAACTCTTAACTGTAAAGAGAGTTGCACTGGACTCTTGCTAAATCTAAATATATTTTCATATAGTTATATATATATATATATATATTTTTTTTTTAACAGTAAGTAGTTGTTTAATCTTTTCTCTTTTTTTTAATTGTCATCACAAAAACACTTAAACCAAAATGATTACAGTTAAATGTGTTATATATTTTTGAATGAGTGACTGCTAAGTAACTGTTACCAGAGATTTATTGCTTTGTACATTGAATATGGTTATTACCTGCTGCTATGACTATACCAGCCCTTTTCACAGGTTCTCCCTTGTTTTCTTAATGGAAACTTTTTGCCCCATCCCAGATAAAATCCCACACTACAGGTTACCTTTGGTTAACTGTGCAAAGAAATTGACACAACAGTAACAGTTTAGTAAAGTAAAACAATATAGTCATAGTAAAAAAAAAAACATTTGTAAAAACGAAAACACCCATGCATAACTAACATTCACAGATGTCAAAATGGCATGGAGTTAAAATAATGGCATGGAAATTAAGGAGTCCACAGCCTTGACACCCTGTGCTTCTGCTTTTTGTAGCTCTTGCAATTCCAATGATCTAAATCGAACCCCTTCCCAAGTTTCATCTATTACACCAAACGCCAAATTGAACAGCATCGTCCAAAAAAAATATATATACAGATACGACTGAAACAGCCTGCTGAGCTTGAGAAACACTTTTGTTGCTTTTATTTCATCATCTAAAAAACTGTGCTTTTTCTCTGCAGTGTCAAAGACCAAAGTCCTCTTTAATCTCTCAAAAACGTGACTTCTACGATGGATGAGTAACACATCATGAGGTATAAACAAATTCGCTTTGTTGTGCTGTTAAATTACATTGTACAGCTCTCTCAGTGCAATCAGAAAAAAGACAGTGGAAACCAGTTGCTTGGTTGGAATTCTCTACAGCAGTATTTCCACCGTGATCTCATGATAATTCGTATGTATTTTACGTAAAATGTGGTTCTATAAAACGTACATTTACTTAAGTTTTTACAGGCACTAAAACGTACAATACTGACGTATTTTCAGCCTCTAAATGTACAAATATTTATGTATTTTCAGCATTTTAACGTACAAAACGGACATATTGACGACACCTAAAAATGAATCCTTATGAATATTGAAATTGCGGCATTAATTTGATTAGTTTTTAGTTGTCATATGAATTAACTTGTTTTCAATTGCATTATTAAATTTACTCGTTTACTTAGTGTACGTTTTGTGCTTGTAAATGTTACGTATTAATACCTACGTATAAACATGAGACCAGGCTGGTATTTCTCCATGAATGACTCCAGAGCCTCGGTTCTGGAAGCCGGTTGCCTGACTAACTCCACAGGCTTCTCTAAGTTGCAAAGGCTCAGAATAATGGGGTGAAAAACTCGGTTTCACAATATTACACATGATTGCACTTGAAATAAAGTTACTCTGTTTTAATACATACAACATTTACAGTCTGCCAATTTTGATATGTAATATCTCCTTTGTATAATTGACTCATTTAAATTCATATTTAAATGTAGGATTTGATCATTTAAATTTGTGCAAACATACAACAATTTTTCGTTTTTTTTACATGTTAATTGATCATCTTTTTTTAGAACTCACAGACACTACAAAATCTACAGTGTGGGCATATCTTTTTTATCCTGTGCTGTATGTACAGTGGCTGCAAAAAGTATCTGGATGCTTAAGTTGCACTTAAAAATGTAGAAATGTCATTGCATTAGATTAGATAACAAAAACGAGTTTGTTATATTAGATCATATAATGAAATATCATATATATATTATTTTATATATTTAAATATATAGCTACATACATAGATTTTTAAATTTCAAAATGAAGACACTTCATACACCCACTAAAGAAAAGCACAGAAAGACAAATTGCAGATGTGTTGCAGATTGCACTTGCATTTTGTTATTTAATGCAATGGAATTTATACATTTCCTGTTGTGACTTGTGTCTCCAAAAAGTGTATCCAAATACTTTTTTGCTCCACTGAATGTTTATGTATAGCTGTGTGCATCATGTGTGTGATAGTATGTGAGGTCTAGGAGTAATCCCCACCCTGCCTGTATCCGTAAACCCCTTCCTCCACACCTTCCTGTACATACTCCTCTCGTTTATCCCATCCTTCTGCCCATCCGCCGTTCAACTGCGTAGTGGCACCGTAGGTCTTGGCTGGACCTCCCAGGGCACCGTAGCTCTGGGTGATATCCCCCGTTTCCTCAGCCAGCTCATCTTCATCAATGAAGCCACACTTTTCTTCACTGGTCTGTTCTGGATCTGCCCATGGCTGCTTCTCCCCCGAGGCGAAGATGCCATAGAAGATTACACCGCCATAATGCACCAGGGAAGCGATAAGAAACACATACTGCCACTCTTCTCGAGTCTGAAAGGAAGAAAGAGTTGTCAGGAATTCATTGACATAAAGAAACTCCTGGGAGCTGCAAGAATAACACATGAAATAAACATAGGCTTAATGCTGATAAATCTGAGCACTTTAGGCAAGTAGGCAGAGAGATCTGAAAATCTGTCACATGAAATCTTTTAAAATCAAAATTTTTTATATTTCATACATCAGGTTTGGAACAACAAACAAACAAAATCAAGATAAATCTGCTGTGATTCTCAAACCACGCAAGTGTCACAACCGTAGACTGTACAAAAACATGGACGTAGTGTCCGTGGCGTCACCCGTAGTTTTCTGAAGAGCATTTTTGAAGCTCAAAAGTGGGCGGAGCATGCCGTCGCCATCTTGGCAGTGCGTCACCGTGCGTCACTCCCGCATAATCGAAAATGGGCAAAGAGGTGGGAGCTGGTTGCTGAAGCCACGCCCACCTAGCTCGACGGCAGTGTCAACAGCGGCAATCCACCTGTCACTCAAGTGGCCACGCCCTTAATTATGCAGCACTTTAAGGCTTAATATAATTACCAAAAATTCACCCCCCCTCACAGTTGTCATGAAGGGCAAAATTAGCTATATAGACCAAAATCATTTTTTGAACCGGGCTGTAAACATTTTTTTCTGCTGTAAAGTTGGGCATTTTAACATGGGGAGTCTATGGGATTGACTCCCTTTTGCAGCCAGCCTCTAGCGGCCAGTTGACGAATGACAGTTTAAGTCACTTCCTTGTTGGCTTCGCGAGAGAGAGCGGGAGGTTGCCGCTTGGTCACAACTCAACCTTCTAATCCACCATGGGTCAACATCATTCATTCAAGTTAAGATCCATCCAATCCAAACATATAGTACTGAACATCTAGAATGCAAAAGAAAATCCTGAAAATCCCAGGTGTCTTACCTTGTGTTTGGTCATGGCTCCCACAATAAGAGGGCACACCATTCCTGACAGAGTTCCCACTCCATTAGAGATTCCCATGAGGATACTGGCATAGCGAGGAGCGATGTCTAAATGATTGACATTGAAACCTGATGGGCAACAAGTGTATACATTACATTAACATTAGAAAGAATTGAAATAACTTTGTAAAAGATTACTTTTTTTCTGTTTTTGGCATAGAATTAATTACAACAAGCCAGGGTTACTATTGTTCACTCAAACTAAAAAAAAAGCATTTTCATTGAATGGGTATGATTTGGAAAGGCACACGTCTTAATAAAAAGGTCTAACAGCTGAAAATGCATATTAGAGCAAAGACCAAAAACAAATAAAAACTGCCTGTAGAGCTCAGAGACAAGTTTGCATCAAGCCACACGTCTGGGGAAGAGTTCAGAAAAAAATCTACTTCATTGAAGGTTCACAGAAGCATGTAGCCTCCATTATCCATAATGGAAGACGTTTGGAACAACAAGGACTCTTCCTAGAGCTGGCCTCCTGGCCAAACCGAGGAACTGATAGAGAAGGGCTTTGGTTAGACTGGAGATAGATGAAATCTACAGAAAGACAAACATCACTGCAATACTCCACCGATCTGGGCTTTATGCCGGTGTGGCCAAACTCAATTCTCTCCTTAGTGAAGACACACGAAAACACACTTGGAATTTGCAAAACAGCATCTAAAGGACCCTCAGACTCTGAGAAACAAGATTCTCTGGTCTGATGAACCTCAATTCTAAGCATCATGTTTGAAGGAAACCAGGCTCTGCTCATCACCTGCAGAGTACCATCCCAAAAGTAAAGTGTGCTGGTAGCAGCCTCATGCTGTGGGACTGTTTTTCAGTGGCAGGGACTGAGGGACTCGTCAGAGTAGAAGAAAAGCTCAATGCACCAAAATATTGAGATAGCCTTAATGAAAACCCAGTCCAGAGCATTCAGAACCTCAGACTGAGCAGAAGGTTCACCTTCCAACAGGACAATGACCCTAAGCACACAGCAAGAGTGGCTTATAGACAACTCTGTGAATGTGCTTGAGTGGCCCAGCCACTGCCTGAGATTGAACTCAATCAAATATTTCTGGAGAAACCTGAAAATGTGTGTCTGCCCCCATCAAAGCTGACAGAGCTTGAGAGGTGAACAGGTGAGGTGAAGAATGGCAGATAATTAGCAAATGCTGATGAGCAAAGCTTGTCGCATCATACCCAAAAATACTTGAGGCTGAAAAGGTGCTTCAGCTAAGTACTGAGTTATGTTGAATACTTATGCAATGTATATATTTCCGTTTTTTTATTTTTTATAAATGTACAAAGTTGTGACAATTCTGTTTTTGCTTTGCTATCATGGTGTATGGAGTGTAGATTGATGTGGAAAAAAAGTAATTTAAAGCAGTTTAACATAAGACTGCAACAAATTGTGAAATAAAAGACACTGTATATATTAAAAACAAAACTTATTTCTGCATTTTTTTGTTTATGTTGAAGTACTAAAATAACAATTGAATAAATTAAAAATAAATTGAATAAACTAAAACTACAAACTAAAACTTAATAAAAACTACAACAAAAAATTGAAAAAAAGAAAACTAATAAAAATGACAAAAATAACCCTAAAGCAAGACGACTAAAACTAAAATATAAATAAATTCCAATTTAAAATATTAACAAAAACTATAATAGTACATCAATGATACTTAAATAACACTGCAACAAACAACATTACAAAATGACATTTTCAAATCACTGCATTCCTCTTGTATAATTTGCACATTTTGGTTCTGCATCAAGAGTGAACATTTTTCAGTATCTCTAACATGATGTTGGAGATCCAGACTAAAAATAGAAAGAGCAGCCATCTTGTAGAGCGGAGGAGTCTCTAGCCCCTCCCTTACTGAGTGCTCTTTCTAGATGTGCTGCCAGTGAGGCTGCTCTCAGGGGACAGTGTGTATGAATTATTTAAAAAGTCCAGCGGAATGACTTATTCCTTCCAAGCCGCAGCGGAGGAAGAGCATTTTTGAGTGATAAAAGGAGAACATGGTATTTTGTCAGAAATAAGCCATTATTTGCAGTGTTCCCTGGCTTTGCAAAAACCCTTTGCAAATATTAAATCAGACATATTGTTTCCCCAAAGACTTGCCTGATATTGCAAATCCACTGAAGCCGACAGCCAACACAAGAAACGAAATGGCTACTCCTTTACTATGTGAGTAACCAACCACCAACAATAGAGTGGCCTCCATCCCAAAGCCTGTGAAAGATAAACACAAGTGGATAGTCAACAAACTAAGCTAAAATGGACAATTATATGTATTATTATGACTGTTAATATTTAGGATGAAGAAAAATTCTATTTATTCTCATTCATTCCTTTAACCATCCTAGCTTGCCTTGCACAGATTTAACAAGAATTCAGTCATATGAGCTATATCATTCCTTGCAGTAGGTTGCACTCACCTCCGCAGTTCATGATCTTCCGAACTGTGGTAGTAGACAGGATGTTTTTGCAACGGAGGAAATCGGCTATCTGTCCCCCAATGGGTACGATAATGGTCATCACCAGATGGGGCAGGGCTGACAGCATGCCAACCTGAATAAGACAGCAGCCGTCAGGCTCAGAAGGATCTCATTGAAAACACACTGCAGAATGAATGCATTAGTAATGATATTGTGGCATTTTAGGATGTGGTTGAACCACAGAAAAGAGAAAAAAAAGTCCAATTTCAAATCTAAAAGAAAATATTTTACTTAATTACAATGGATAAATCTGATAAATAAATGTCTTCCAAAAAATCAATCAAACTGACATGCAACATTCACTATTAGTGAGTTAATACTGTCACTAGATGTAAAGACATGACTGAAGGTTTAACTGTAGGAAGTGAGAAAACAAGAGCAAAATGAGATGCGAGCACAGACTTCAATCACCAATAAGTGATTAATGAATTATTCATTATGAACTATTCACAATGAATAATTCATCAACCTATTTCAGACCTTAGGGAATGACAAAGGTCACCCATTTACTGATGCACACTGGAATTATAGAACAAAAATCATATGCAATTTAGACACCAAGGCTAGCCATTTTGACCCAAATAAACCTTGACTGCTGATTAAGTAATTATTCATTTTTAATAATTTTCCAGTTTGTATAAAACAAATACCAATTTAAATGCATGCAATATGAAAGGTAAACTGAAACTACCTTGCTAATCTCAAAGCCAAACACCTCCTCGAAGTATGCAGGCTGGCTGATGAGCAGCAAGTAGAAGGTCCAACTCCTGCAGAAGTTGGCCACAATGATTGCATAGACAGGCATTGATGTGAAAAACTGCCTCCAAGGTGTCTTGAATTTCTGTAAGAGAAAGGAGTATTGCAACACGTGGAGGGAACTGTTACATTGTTGATTCTGCATGAATGAGCGCATGGCATTTACACCAAAGAAGACCAAAGACCAGAGAAATGCACACTGAAACCAAATGGCTAACTAATTTGATCAAATTATAACATAAATATAAAAAAAGACCTTTCTGATATGCCTTTGTTGGTACTTTCAGATTTCATTAGATGTTCTCATATAACACCATGGCAACAAAGTCACCCTTAGTGACACTGCAAATATTGTCCTTTACCTCAAAATTATGCCAGATATTTACAAAATAAGTATATACATAAAAGTGTGATCACCAAAGAAATATTCCTTTTATCTTTTCATTTTTCAAGGCATCCTGACAAAATTTGCTCTGTGCTTTCATTTACCCTCTATTTGTCTCAGCTCTTAATCTTAAAGTCGATATGAAATGAAAATTCACCCTATGTATTTTCTAAATTAATACCATATATCTTATTGTGAACAGTTCTTCTGTGCATGTTTCATTTTTTAAATTAAGTTTGAAATAATCAAAATACCGTAACTGGACCTTCCGGTGAAAATGACAGACTTCTCTTTGGTGACACATGAAGGACTTCAATTAACTCTTAAACTGGACAACCTTCCAAGCTACAACCATAGTATAAGTGAAGTAGATTTGTGTCAATAAGAAATAAATGGGCATTAGAATTATAGATAATTATAGAGTGGTCCTTAATTATAGGTTTGCATGAGAGAGGATGATATATGCCATTAGTCAAAACATCTCTTAAAAGAGTACTTGAATCCTACACTCAAGCTTTTTCTTCTGTGCTATCCAACCCCATTGTATTCCTGAGAATATACATATCCAGCCAAAAGAGTGGAGCAAGATTATGTTTGCGGTCACTTACTTCTGCAGGACCTAGCAGCTTAGCGCTCTCGCCGATACTCTCCTCAATGTAGCAGCGTTCTTCAGCCGTGATGGTGGGATGTTCAGCTGGGCTCTCATATGACACTAAGATCCAGAACATATACCAGAACATCCCGAAACAGCCTAAAGGGAAACAAACAATTCTTAGACATTGGTCTTAAAACAAAACTTCATAAAAGAAGCAGCCAGGAAGATGGGCTAACTGAAAACTCTTCATTTAACTAAATGGATTACAATTCATTGCTTTCCAGACAGGACGTAACAATTCTTGACAAAGTGACAAGCAGATTCAGTGTCAGCACAGAGGATAGACACATGGCAGTGTCAGAGTAAAAATCAATACCCAGCATCGGTGAGTTAATCCATACTACACTTACTAAAATACACTCATCAAGACCGTTAGGAACATTCATGCAATGACGGTTTGCACCATAACCATGGCTCACACGGTACACACAAAAAACACTCTTACCATAGACATAGAAAACCGATGACCAGCCTGTGTACTGCACCAAGATCCCAGCTAAAGGCATGGCAATGACAGCTCCAGCATAGGAACCTACAGTAGAGGAGAGGAGAAGTTTAAACTGAAGAAAAAGCAACTGAGAGGGATACCTATAAAAGACTTATGTGAAATAAATTCTTTCAAAAAAAATAGTTGCAGTTGCAGAATATGCATTAAAACAACACAGGAATATCCTGTGCATGCATAAATAATGTTTCCTAGAATTCTTGAGGATAAACAACAAATGTACACTCTAAAAAATGCTGGGTTAAATACAACCCAGTGCTGGGTAAAATAGGGACAAACCCAGCAATTGGGCTGTTTAACCCAACCGCTGGGTCAAAACAGCCCAATTGCTGGGTTTGTCCCTATTTTACCCAGCACTGGGTTGTATATAACCCAGCATTTTTTAGAGTGTATCTCTACATTTTAACATGCACACAATAACGAGGCTCTAAGGTAGCAACAAAACAAATATAATGGCATTGGTTTTCTTTATTATTCACTAATCTACTATTTTGCTTTAAAGAGAACAAAGATTACCACAGAAGGAGGTTGTGGCTAGACGGCTTCTTTCCAGTGGAGGAGCCCACTTACTCCAGATCCCATGACAGGCTGGGTAGGTCACACCCTAGAAAAAAATAAAATGATACACATCAGTTCTATATATCACAAAGAAATGTGACAATGTTTCAAATCATAATAAAATCTTAAGCAGTAGTTAAAGATACATCACATAAATCTATTCAAATTAATTGAATAAAAATTAAACATTGTTGGTGTGATATAAGTGGATCTAGTTGTCTATTTCACGCACATATAAGCGCCTCTACAGATCAATACAGCTAGACAAAGCCTGGGTTATTACTCTCACAGAAATATCCTCAGGCCATAACTGATTGTTACAGGGCTTTGGGCTTTTCCCAGGAATAACTCCCACAAATGTTTTTTTCTTCTTCTTCTTTCTTTCTTTCATTCTTTTAGAAATTATCTACCAAAAGGTAAGCGCCCAAATGTTCGATAGGAACCTATAGAGAGTTATGATATTAAATCGTTATTAGCAAACAAGCATTTACAAATGAGAGAAAGTCGTACTTTCCTACCTCTACAAGCCCCTGTAATATCCTGACGAACATGACGCAGCCATAGTGAGCACGTGCAGCTGAGGGGATGAACATGTTCAGTGTGGATGTGAGGAAAATGGCTGCGCCAAAAACCCTGAAACATGGTTGAATTATAGACACATTAGGTTATAGAATGCAACAAAAAAAGTAATCTGTGTGAAAATGTAAGTTGTATGTAATTATTTCCCGAGTTTTAGCTATGTGTTATTTTAGTTGCCGCGCTAACATTTTAGTTAGACATGTTCTTTATCGCTGAGAGAAAAAAATGCAATAATTTCTTCATACACACACACTAGCTATTACTACTAAAATATAACGTACAATTCAAATAGGCTATCTGCTTTCTGTTCTTAAGAAAAAACAGCAACATGGTCGTTGTCTTTGGTGATGCCAGCACTGCCACAGAGGAAATATGGCCTTCCATTTATTTCCAATTTTCCTCCCGTCTTGTAGAGCTGGAGACCCCTCACCTCTCTCCCACCGGCATTCACTAATCGGATTGAGGGAGTTCTCCAGCACGAGACTCGCTGATTCTATTAGATCTCAATCACGCCGACCAATAGCCCAAATATTAACCGAGAACTGTTGAATAATTTCAGCAACGACAATTAAGTCAAATATTTGACGTAGCCTACTGAGTTAACAGAACTAGCCTAAAATTGCACAGCATTTTAGTTTCTTGATAACGTTCGTTTATTGTTGCCCAGCCGTCAAAGAAGATGTTTTAGGGAGCACAAATTGTGTAAACATATTTCCAGCTACCGACATGGCAGTTTTATTTTTTTGATCAATTGTTGTGTGATAGATGAGGTTGGCCAAACCCTCTGGCAACATGTCCGGGGCTGGTTGCCATGCCCCCCTCATTGAGCAGATTAGACACGCTTCCCCCGAGATCTCATTAACAGGTGGAGAATGCCCCACAGACCCGCTCCCACAGTCTAATCCTACAACTCACACGACGGGTCAGCGTTCACTCTGCCACTCACTCACACATACACTGGAAACACAAGCAGGCTGATCTACCATAGCAATGAACTCTCTCTCTCTCTCTCTCTTTACCTGTCTGCAGTGCTGATTTATTTATTTGATTTCCTTTCCCCTTGAACGCTTGAATAAAAATAGTATTCCTAAGGGTTATATTTTGTTATATTATATTAGAATAATAAAATCACAACAGTGATGTCTCATATGCCTTCTTTACAACTGATCATCATGGCCTTCAAATAAGAAAGTGAGAAGCAAGATTTGGACGTTTCCCAAAAAGATCGTTCGTTTTTCTGACAAAATAAACTCAGTATAAACTGTAATAATGCATAAAATAAATTTATGTACATATATTTTCACAAGAAATGTGTGACCTCACAAGAGTCTTTGCTAAATAAGTAAATAAGATTGGGTTGAACGTCTGCTAAATTAGCGCCTCCCATCACCCCCTTTTCTTCCAGTGACAGTACAGTTCCATCCGCCGCTTTGAATGAATAATCATCCCTTGTATAATACAGTATGGTTCGCCAAGCTACTTTCTGTGTAGAGCTCAAAGCTTTGCAGCTCGAATTTGGAAGTACGAATTCGGCCGTGACTATCACTGTAATCATCCACTATATCATTTTTAATTATTTCAAATATTTATTACAGTCTTACATGACTGAGGCCTCCTCCTTAAATCTTCTTGTACATTAAATAATACATTCACCTTCTATAATACAACAGTAAGCGATTTACCTGCCGGTTTGGAAATAACGTCGGACGTAAGCTGCAGATGTTTTATAGCCTAATAGATGTTTTATGAGCAAATAGAAACTAAAATAACACATATATTAGCCTATAATTAATAAAACGAAATATTATTATAGAATATTTATCATTTGTATTTTTAATTTGTATTGCATTTGTATTTTCTACTTAATGTTCTTTCGTTAACATTAGGTAGGCTATATTATCTATAAGGTAGCCTACTATTTTCTATTTCTATTCTATTGGGAAATTCTATAAACGAAATGGGATTTTAAAGGCGATATTTATTGTTGCATTATAAGCTAACAACAACAACAACAATCATCATCATCATCATCATCATCTGAATAAATAAATAAATAATTCAATTCCTAGGGCTTTACCTGTTTGCTGCCAATCTAGAACAAATGTATCCCCCGGGAATTTGCGTCACAATATAACCCCAGAAAAATGAGCCATGAATCATTCCAACTGTTTCCGGGTCCCAGTTGAATTTTGCCTTCTAATGGAGAGAAACAGAAAATAGCAGGTTGCTAATCCTATCTGTAAAAGACTAGGGGCAATTGAAAATGTGAATGCACACGCTTCCATAGACCTCTATTAAGGTTAAAATATAATATTGGCTATAATAATATAAATTCGATATTTGAGGGGGAAAATTTAACTTTTATTTTTCAGAGCAGTATAGCGAACAAAATATATATTGATTATTGTGCGCAAAAAAATGAAATGACAAGCGTGCAGGATTAGTTTCGATTTATGAGGACATTTTCAGTGTCCCCGTAATTCAAAAGGCTTATAAATAATTCAGAATGAGTTTTTTTGAAAATCTAAAAATGCAGAAAGTTTCCTGTAAGGGGTAGGTTTAGGGGTAGGGTTGGTGTAGGGCAATAGAAAATACGGGTTGTACAGTATAAAAACCATTACGCCTATGGAGAGTCCCCATAAACCATAAAAACAAACCTGTGTGTGTGTGTGTGTGTGTGTGTGTGTGCACGCTCTTGAGGGGTGTGTGGGGGTGTCACGAAGCTGACGTGCACATATAAAATCCAAGCGTGCCTCGCGCACAAACCTCTTTGATGATGATCTTCCCGTTCAGGTGAATGGTGCTGTTGTTCACCATGCTCACTATGGCCACGCCTAAGTTGCACCGAATACCGAAGGAGATGCAGAACCCGAGGCCGCTCATTATGGCGATGATGTAGCGGCGCGGAAGTCCAAAGCACGTGCAGTCGCACAAAGGTGCCTTTTTCTCGTTGGTCTGAGCAGGCCGTCCATCCTCGGTCAGTTCGATGTTGTCGCCAGGTTTTTGTCGCTTTTCTAACACTCTGCATCAGTCAGAAGAGAACCGTCAGACTACTTGTAGGACACTAACAGCATAACGACAACAATCCAGAAGAACCAATTAATAGGAATCTCATCCACCTTTATTACTTAAGACAATTAGTTAGGAACAAACGAATCAAGATTTTATTTGGACATATAACTCGATTTACATTCCCCACTAGTAGCCTGCTCTAAGTTGCACGGACAGATTTAGACAATGGTAATTAAAATGGCCTCCAAAGAATCTTTTTTTTTTCAACGCAAGGATTTTTATGTAAACTCCACATAGGCTTCGTGTGCTGCTGTAAAGCGCACTGTACCGCATTGCAGCATTCCCTTCACCTTCACCTTATTTACATTCACACAGGCTTAAGGTCCACTGATATTCACGAACTTCACTAACACTTTACTAATATTATTATACCAGAGCCAAAAGCAGAGTTATTTACTAGATAATCAAAATACATATTGTGTCGAGATAAATTCTATAACGTAATGTGCATCAAAATGTAGTTTATACGTTTTTGTTACAAAAATGATAAATTTAATTTCAGGGATTTGATTTTTATTAACAAGTGCGACGGGAGTAAAATGAATTTATATCTTTTGTATATGTAAAATGCATAAAACGCACATGAATTGCACTATAATTGTCAATACAGTTTTTTAATCTCAGAAGACAAATAAGAGACAACGTCCCAATATTTTGGAAAACACTCGGAGACTTCAAAATGTCTATAAGCAAACGAAAAAAACGAAAAGATGAGGAGACACATTTATTAATAGTTGTACTCGGGGAAAAATAATTTCTGAATTCGTTCAGGTTGGCGAGGCGGTGGATTTTTTTTTTCACTCTTCTCATAGATTTCAAAGATTTGTTTTTTTACGAGACACAAAAAAATTTCTCAATATAAAAGAGCATCAAATCAACGTGAAATAATGATGTAAAACCCGATTTTTTTTTCATGTGATTTCAGTCGTGGTCTTTTTTGCAGGTATTGTGGGAATACGCGAATGGTCTCTAAAAAAAGAAGCTGCACTCAAGGGAATCCTCTAATTGAACGATTACTATTCAATCGTAAATGCATTTTAGTCGCCGGATTACAATGACAACCTTCAAAGATGGGAAAACTCGCATGCTTCCATCCCCTCCTCCCAAGATTATGCAGAATTACATAATTTTCTTCACGTCTCCATGAGGCGTGACGCAAAACCGACTGGGGAAACTCGTTACTGAATAGACTAAACTTGCTGCATATTTGTGATTTTTCTGTTCTGTTATAGCAATAGTTAGCGTATTTATCAACATACGCCAAAGTCATTATTTTTAAGTGAATTATTCAATTTTATAATGTTAAAATATCTTACTTGTGCAGGTGTCCTAGTGTCTTCCCCGCTAATTGCTTCAGTCCCTCTTTGCTGGGCACAAAACCAGGCTCCCTCGGAGTCTCCATGTCCAAATGTGATAATCCCTCGTTTCCCCGGTAATGTCAAAGTACCATGTCACAGTGTGAGATGACAGAGCATAGGCTACCGGACCGATACCCAGCGGATCAATGATTCAGTAAGACAGATGAGGAAAATTCACGACGGTGTTCACAGAGCGAAGAGAAAAAAAAATCCGCCTACACAAGAGAGATATCAGAGGTGGTCTGGCTCTGTCTACTCATAATTATGAACTCATAAACTGCCCCGCGCGCGATAAGAGCACGCGATGCCATCTCAGATTTGAGTCAACGAATTAATGTTCGCTTCAAATCGACGGAGTACAAAAAACGGATTTAAAAACGACGTATGGTTACTTAAGAGCAAAAGAGAAAAAGCACTGTCACCTTTTCGACGCAGAGTGCCAGTGAAGTAGCTTTAGGAGGAATGTGAATGGCGTTCAGCACCAAGGTCAGCGACAGTCTCGCCGAGACTCCTTCGCCGACTAGCGCTGGATCAGTCCCGTCAGAGTGCCGCTGCTTTGGGAGGGGTTAGAGAGGGCGGAAAATCTTCACATCCCATTCACATTTTCTCTGATTTTGTGCTCAAATGATCTGGATTATGTTCCACGTGCGACAAATGACAGACTTTCGGAGCGTAGCTATATGAAGGGCACGTGACCTGACATTCGAAGTTTCTACATTTTATGCCTATTGCTTGTTTTCCATCAAAGGCCGTGCAAGCCTCCTGAGGGCGGTGCTATGGAAACCGAACGAGGGGTGTTTCCCCCTCCAAGTGCCTGTGCTGGTGTGAAGGAAAGCGTATTAATAATTCATACACACCTCCCTCTTTTCTGTCCTTCACAGCAAAAATAAATAATTGCTATTGTATGTACACGTACGTCGAATTCGAAGCCAATACAGTCCAGACGCAAGCTACTTTTTATTCAAGTCAGTTTTTAACGGTTGAGGATAATGTAGGGGGTATGCTGTCGGCGCATTTTGATATTATCGTATTTATTATTTTAACATCCTGCTAAATCACAAACCAATTTATAGGAGAGTAACTCTGCGCAGTGGCGACGCTCTGCGTTCTTAAAAGCTTCACACAACAGGTAGTTTGAGAGCGCGCTTAGTGAAGCGCAGGCGCCATCTTGCGTTCATTTACAGTATTTGCAGAGGACGCCCAACAAGCGCTAAACACGTGTAGTACACTTAAATCACTTTATTTTGGCACGTTCTCGCTTTTATAAGATTGATTCATGACTATTCACAAACTTACTTTTTTCACACGGTTTCATGCAACTTTTACAAACATCTGTAGACTAAAGACGACCAAAAAAAAAAGTATACACATACATCATGACAGCAATTAAGGCAAATGCAGGTGTGACATGTTCTCATCCGAACACAAAGATATCCTAAACTAAGTGGAAAAACTTTTAAAAATATTTTATCATGAATAGACTGTAACATACATACATACTTAGGATACATATAGTAAGCATTGTTTTGGATTAAACTTTGTATACAAGTATAGCAACACAATATTCAGAACATTTCTGTAAACTGTATTTGTATTCTCCATAAAATATTGATGAATCACAGTAAAAATCCCTTGACAGGCTAAAAATACATATGTAGAGAATTTATAACATTTGTGAAATGAAATGAACAGGTATGGTTCACAAAATGTGTAGTTAAATTGATAAGACACTTTAAAAACCGACAGACTCTTGGGACATAATATCAACACTTTTGCTTGATTTCAAACAGGAGGAGTCCCTATAGAAGATGATTGGCGCCGAGTTCATAGTGTTCGTCAACAGTGATACAGAAAGTATTAACCAAACATGTGAAATGTTGATGGGGCAGCTCAAAAGGTTTGAACCAAATCTCCTTGCACCAGGTTAGTAATACAGCAGAGGACACTTGATTCCTTCTATTCACGTGATGTTATTATTTGTCCTTTTGCATGTATACACCATTAGAGGCAATTTCTTGGTCTTGACATGTATGGGAATCTCTGAAAGTGTGTTTCACTGAATTAATTTGTCCCAGCAGTACTGTAATATCAAATGAAGTTATCAGGGTGAATATCGAAGTCCCCGATTCATGGGGAACTGATCACAAAGATCCAAACTAATCCTGTTTACACAAGTGCATTTGTGCAGAAATTAAGTCACAGAGAAACAGCATAATGAAAAAAACTAGTGTTCTCCTAGTCACGATTACAGATGAGTGCTACTGTTCATTTAGCCTCAGATATGTGGTCCGTATAAACCTTGACCGACTCTTGCAGAGCAAGGTGATGAATAAAGGCTTGAGTTTCTGATTTTTTAAGTATCAGAAAACATACAGCACGTCATTCTAGAGCTTAATCGGGTAAGATCAATGCTTCCAACCAGATAATAAATCAGTTATATAATAACTCTAAAGCAATAAATACATCTTTGAAGAAAACCAACAATGGTAACAAAAAAAAAATCCTTATATTTTAATATGACAGAACAAAATGTGTGGGTGACATGGTACAGCATTATTTAAAAATAACAATAAAATATAAATATTATGTGAAACAAGATAATGTAAGCACTACAGAAATGATGATATTGTTTGATAGTTATTCAGCTATCAGTGTGTTTCATAAGAGAAAATACCCACTGGACAACAACATATTAACTGTTAAAACTGTTAACTGTTAAACCGCACATGGCCACAAAAAATGTCTGGGGGAAAGAAAAAAAAAAGACAACACACTGTCTACATGTACTTCTTTCAGTCAGACATACAGGGTAAAACATGCAGATTACTTAAAAAAAAAAATACAGCAACAAGCTGGACAGACATAAATGCTTATTGCCTTCTAAACATGTTCAGTCTTTTAATGGTCATAAATGATTATCCATAAGTTGAATTCACAACAGCTTGCTTCGAAGGCAACCCGAGGAACAGCAGGCCGCATTCCAGAGGGTTTGCCGCTGAAATCTCTGTGATCTGTCTCCAAGCCTTTCTCCTTTGTAAAAGTGCAGTTATGTAAGTGCACTCCAGACATTAGAGAGAAACACAGAGGAAAGCGGTAATGTTTTCCCACAAACCTCAAGCAGAAGAGAGACTGTTAGGCGTGTAGGCCTTTATAAAAGTTCTGGCAGTTGCTTGGATGTGGGCAGGCAGTTCTTTGCAATAAATGTATGAAGGTTTCCCGAAGATTCGATTTCTCCATGCTTTGTGGTGTATAGTACATGTGAGTAGTCCTGAGGGTTCAGGGATATTCAAATACATTCAGAAAGCACCTGGTGTTTACTTGGACTAGAGGGCAGCAGTGAGGCTGTTTCTGTGGACAGGCAGAAACTCTGGCTCAGCTGCATCTTGAGTTTCTCCACTTCGTAATTGTGCAGGTATTCCTGAACCAGAAAGCGTTCACGCTTTATACGGGCCTTTACTTCTGTTGGCACATCTGGAATCAGCCACGCCACGAAGAATTTCACCACAAACACAACGTGCTGAGAAAGAAGAGGAAACAAAGGAACAGTCATCATGTGTGCACTGAACCAAGTTTCCACATATACATTTCTCAAATGGTAATTAAATGCATAGCAAATATTTACGTTCATACAGTACGTCATTTTCTTTTTAGACTTCGGATGCTACAAGAAATGTTCATGCCAAAGCTTTACCAAGATCAGATGTGCTGTGCTATTTCTTATGGACAGAAATCCTCATATACTGTACATTTCTAATCTCCATTTCCAATTATTGCACTGATTTTTATTCCTTTGAGTTTCAAGACTGAACCATCATGTTTTTTAAACAAACGAAAAGACATAAGGTTCAAAAGTCTAGAGCCAGTTAAATTGTAATGTTTTTGAAAGAAGTCTCTTATGCTCACCAAGCCTGCATTTATTTTGGGTTCTCTTTGAATATTTTCAAATGTCTTTTATTCCTGTGATGTCAAAGCTGAATTTTCAGCAGCCTTTATTCTAATCCTGAATAAATCATTCTAATATGCTGATTTGGTACTCAAGAAATATCAAATGTTGAAAAGAGCTGCACTACTTAATATTTTTGTGGAAATTATGATCCCTTTTTCAAGATTCTTTGATGAATGGAGAGCTGCATTTATTTGAAATATTTTTTTTGGTTATTTCTAAAAATGTAGAAGACTTCACTGTCATTTTTGACCAATTTAGTTGAAGTTTATTTGATTTTCTACTTAGCAATACTAAGATTGAATTATAGCAGAAAGTACATCGAAAGATTAAATGACAAGAAAAAACTAAATCCTCGCTGAAAGTATTATTTTCTTTCCAAAAAAAATAAAAACCCACTGAAACTTTTGAATGGTAGTCTAAGCTATATTTTTTTTCTTTAGCTTCCTGATTATGTTACTCCAGTACAGTTCTAAATCCGAATACAAAAATATTTATTATAGTTATTTTGAATTTCCCTGCATATTCCACTATATTATCTCTCTGTTTCCTAAATTGAAATTAGAAGCACACTATGTTATGCCAATGTCTTACTTCCATGATGATGATGAAGGCTAGTTTAGCAGCCAAGATGTGCCAGAACTGCATGTTGTGCGTGTACTGCTTCTCATGCCCAGGTGGGTATCTGTAGTCCCGATAACTGGAGAAAAAAAAATCTGTTAATTTACATAGATGTGTAGGTCTAATACAGACTATAATTCTCTCCAGGCGCTCACACACCTGCATGTTGTGATGGTAGAGCTGTTAAACCATGAGGGGTTTTCTCCAGCTTCAGGTAGGTTAGATTCAGGGATCTGAGAGATGTTGTACAAGGAGAGGCTGTTGGTGATGTAACCTCTCATAGTGGCCTCGTCGCCTGGGTGGTAGGCGTACAGATAGACCAGGCGAGGAATCATATCTGAGGTGAATGCCATGATGAAAGCCTCAAGTGCAAATGAGAAAGAATTAACAATCGGTTTTAAGTATGGTGGAAATAGTGTTTTGATTTTACCAAGCAACATCTTTCCTTTTGTTAATGTTGCTTATATTAGTTAACTACATTTAGAATGAAGTTAAATGCCACATCCAGTTTTACACAAGACAGTAAAATAACAGGAAAACAGAACAAAACAGTTTGCATTTACATTTGTGACCACAGACAAGATGGCCACCACATTAAGGATCTCTTCCCACGCTCCAATGTTGCGAGACTTCGCTGCCACTGGCCTTCTGAACTGTGTAGTAAACTTCCAAGCATCGACTCGCACCTCCAGGATGTTGTTGAAGAGGGCGAGTAGAGGGGCCAGTGGAAAAGAGGCTACGAATAGTGTTATGAAGCCAAACTGGATCACTGTAAAACACACAGGAAACAACTGGCTTAACTGATGAAGCACTAACAAATGCTCACAGAAACCAGTCAAATTCGAAGATCTAGCCACTTCTCTTCTTTGAGGCTTTTCTAATAGGAGCATATTGTTTTTTATTTTTGAATATATTCTTTTATATGTAAATTTCTTTATTTTGATCATTTCTATAAACAATTATGTATTCACAACCATTCAAAAGTTTGGAGTCAATGAGATTTCTGTGATCTTTTCGAAACAAGTCTCATATGCTCACCAAGGCTGCGCTTATTTAATAAAAAATGAAGTAAAAACAGCAATATTGTGAAATGTCAATAGAATTTTCCTTTTTTATATATTTTTTAAAAATATTATTCATTTCAGTGCCTGAAAGCTGAATTTTTAGCAGCCATTACTCCAGTCTTCAGTGTCATGTGATCGTCTATGCTAATTAGGTGCTGAAGAATCACAACTTATTTTGTATCAATGGTAAAAATGGTAGTTGTGCCGCTTAAAATTTTTATGGCAACCATGAATCTTTTTTCAGAATCCTACTGATGAATAAAGTTAAAAAAGAACACAATTCTTTTTTAATGGAAAGGTTTGTAACCGTAGAATTCTTCACTGTCACTTTCCATCAATGTAATGCATCCTTAAAGAATAAAAGTACTAAATTTCTTTAAAAAAACAAAAAACACATTTTGAAATAAAATACAATTTGATTTAGCCAGAGCCGATCCTCCCTATACGCAAGCTCCGTAGGGCCCCCTCTTGCTCTCAAAGATGATTTAATTTTAGTTTTGTTTTTGAATTTGGTCAGCGGTTATGAAAACATGAATGATCATTTCTTTTAATGCGGTGCGTTGTCATCGTTTCTACGTAAAAAATCAGTCATATCATGTAACGTGAATGTCGTACAGTCTTGCTCGAGACTAAAAAAAAGGAGTTGAAGGCGTACCGAGCTGCGGAAGAGACATTGTTTCTCAAGCGCTCAAGATGGAGTGAAACACGGACAAATGCGTTTCATTCAATCGATGAATTGGTCTATCTGTATGCCTACCACCCATTCATAAATGCACACGGTTTTGTATTTTTGCACTCACCCCCCCCCCAGAAGTCTAGGATCGGCACAACCACATAAGCTATCTAAATGAATTATATAATTCATTGTTTTGGTATATGAACACTAAATAACTCAAACATGTATAATCGAGTAAAATCGTACCCATCTCCAGATACTCATAGAAGAGTCCAAACTGGCTGAAGTTCTGTAGATCGTGGTCCTGCTCCCATCTACTGTATGTACTTTCTGGATGACTTCGCCCTTTCCTGCTGCCCCACCAGTTTCTGAGAAGTCTGTGACACAGGCACAAGGGACCATTATGTGTGTTTTTTTTTAGATATGAATAGTGCCTAGAGGACAATTATTAAAAAAACATATGTGATATAATATGCTTAGAGGTCAAAGTTCAATGTAACGCTTACGGCAGCAGAGCCTCTTGGACGTTCCCAACCATTTGTTTTCCAGCCATGACGATAAGCAGCTGTGTGGTTAGCTCAATCAGACAGCCCCCAGGGGCACACTAAATATAAAATGCATATTGTCATGTTAGAGCTACTTATTCTGATATTCAGCTGAAAGAACATTAGGTTCTCATAAATACCGATATTTCAGACAGTCTCACCTCTTCATTTCTCAGCTTGCTCCACTTTCCAAACATATAAGTGTAGTTTCCCGGATAACCCACAAACTTCCCTTTAAAGAAGGCCACATAGAAACAGGAAGAGTAGTAGTTCACAAACTGGAACATAAACATCTTCATGGTCAGCTTGTTCTCATACTCCAGATGGGTCTTGGGGATCTCTGAGAGTTAAAAAAAGAGGTAAAGACAGTAAAGTATTTTCTATACAGCTCAACAAACAGATGAGCAAATACATGAGGCATAATGTACAGTCAAACGGTCATTATCAGAAAATAAATGCACACGGTTTTGTATTTTTGCAATGACCATCTGACTGTACATTATCCAGCTTATTACATAGTTACTAATAAGTGGACACGTACTTTAAAAAAAAAAAAAAATTATATTAATTACTCAAACTGTAAACTTTATAAACCATTTTCCAGAGACTGAAATGCATTTTACATGTCAAACAAACTCAATGAAACATATCTTAACTCTAATTTCTTGTGTGAAGTGAGGAAGTGGTTTTCGCTCACCCATATCAGTGATCCAAATGGCCACATGCTCATAGAGGAAGTTGAGAATGAGGATAATGACAAAGTTGATGCAGGAAGCTGTGACAGAGGTGGCAAGTTGAGGGGTGATGAGAGATCCCACCAGCTGGATCTTACTGGTGGGACTGTCCTTCATGATGCTGGCGAACGCTGCATAAACCGCCAATCTATAAGCGATTACTCCCATTATACAGGCCACTATCAGACACGTCTGACAAAACACAAAGAGAGGGAAGGAATTAAACCGATTGATCTTCGTTTTAATGAGCTAGCAAAGTGTAAGAAATTGGTTGCCAGTGACAAAAGGTCAAATATACAGTTTAAAATGACATACAATAAAATCTGACTGCAAAATGTAACTGACCAATCATAATAACTGATAACCTAATCTATATCATACAGTTGCACTGTTTAGCTTACTAACTCACCCAAAAGAGAACCGTTGCTCCAGACAGACAGAATCGGGCACACTTGCTGGGGAAAGGAAGATAAGGCTCCATTTCCTGTTAGCATAAAGAATGTGTCATCAGTTCAAGCACTATAATTAGACTAGAGTTCAACTGCAAACTTGGTTAATTATAATATGTAAATGATTTTTATAAATAAAAACGACTAGGATAAACAACATATATAGGAGAAGATATATGTTTCTGTTTGGGGTCAGTAAGATTTTTTTTTACATTTTATTTTAAAGAAATTAGTTACTTTTATTATGCAAAGATGCAATTTTTTTTTTAGTTGCACAAAAGACATTTAATGTTACAAAAGATTTCCATTTCAAATAAATGCTGTTCCTTTGAACTATTCATAAAAGAATCCTGAAAATTTGATTACAGTTTCCACAATATTCCACAAATATTAGGCAGCACAAGTTTAAACAATGATAACAATAGGAAATGTTTCTTCAGCAAATCAACAAATTAGAATGATTTCTAAAGGATCATGTGACACTAAAGGCTGGAGTAACGCCATCACAGCAATAAAATTAATTTTAAAATAGATTAAAATAGATTTTTTAAAATCATAATAATATTTCACAATATTACTGTCTTCACTGTATTCTTAAACAAATAAATGCAGCCTTGGCAAAGTTAACATGAAATCTAAATTGACCCCATATATTATCTTCATACATATTCTAGCTTGGTCCACAGAATAAAATATTTTTGCCTTTGTAATCTTTCATCTAAACATAATAATTTACTTAAAACATGTTGCCTCTAAAGTCAGTAAAGCTAAAACAACTCTGCATTAACAAAACAAATTATATTTGGACTACTTGAAGTTATATGACATTATTTAAGTAGCATATCATGACTACGACTGCATGCAGTGTTTACTTGAGAAACAAAAAAACTTACATAAATTTGAATTTATATTGAGAACATTTGTGACATGGAACAATAGTTAAAATGGTTTAATTCATAGCAAAGACCTGGGAGCAAGACTTTCCTTTGCCATGATTATGATGATATGTTAAATGAAGTGGCAAAAACCGGTTCGGGCAGAAGAAGACAAATGCAAATATTTACTCGGATCATGCAAATTATTTGAAAGACATCAGGCCGATTCTAAGTCACAAATCACCACTGACAAAGGCTAGGCATGCATTTGAAATCTGAAAAAGCAATATGCCTGAATCATCCTGCCAGTGGGAGCTCTGTGAAGTGCAGATCTTTAACTTTTTAACAATTGATTTGTGGGTTTTCATCCTGCACCCGCAATTATCTGCTCCTTATGGGCATGTTTTCTCTCATATTCTCATTCAACCAGAGCATTTATGAGGAACTAAACCATTCATTTACATACTATTTAAATTGCAATACGGAATGAAAGGTTTTATTATTATGGTTATACTGATGATTTATTACTTCTATGACATGATTTTTTTTACTTGGCTTCTGAATGTCAACCAAACGAACCTCAATTCTACCACTAGTTTCTTCCACTGTCAATTTCTCAAATATCCCAGACAAACTAACTGGCAAATTCTTTGAACTTAACTTGACCCTTCATTAGGTTTCATGTCATTTATATTTTATTGCTCAAATAACTCAACCTATTCCCTTCTGAATTTAAAGCTAGCTTATGGTTTTGATTAGAGTTTATGAATGTTTAAAATGTGTGTTGGCTCCACGACTAACAACTGATGTTGATGCAGGATCATGTGTTTAATCACGCCGTGATGTTTGCAGGTACCTGCGTGATGCGGTTGAGTCTGCGGCCTGTGCATTTCAACTCATATTCTGGCCGGATCTGTAGTTGCTGCTGTTCCTCCTCAAAGTCCACAAGGTCCCACTCATACTCCAGACGGGCCTGCCGCCGCTTCCAGAACTCCAGGAACAGGGTCACTGCAAAGTACCCAGAGAAACAGAGCAGAAAAAATAAGAAATACATTATTTAGGAGTATCACGCTCACACTTAATAACAATTCTATTTAAACCCTATAGTGTCACACAGTGTTGTTTTCTTCTTTACAATGATTTTACCCAAACAAGGCCTTACAAAATTTTAGAATCTAAATAAACAAGTTTTAATTTATGAGTACACAGTGCACTGGGCACAGAAATATTCACACAGTGCTGATTAATCAAATCACTGCATAAGCAGAGCTCATTTTGAGGCCTGTGTGAAATGAATTCAGTGTTCAGTAAATGATAATCAACATGCACCACTGCCCTCATGTGATTAAACATACATTTTCAAAACGCATACACAAATTATGCTCCTTCATTATAGATGTATCTAGTAAACAAATTCTGTGACCAATTATGTGACAATATGAATACTTTAAAATCCTTCATGCACAGTTAGGAATCTCTCATTAGTCATTAGATCCCGAGTCTGACTAGCAATATCCTTCTAACCACTAGATAGAACTATTGAGCTAGTATTTTAAACCATAAGAGTGCACTCACCCCAAATACCCATGAAAATGGCAAAGAACACAGTCCCCTCGTTATCAAATAGATGGGATTGCTAAAGGGGGGGAAAATCATTCTATGATAAAGAAAAATCATTATTTATGATTTAAACAGTGAATCTACAACGATTCTCACCCAGGAGGACAGACACGTTGAGTTGAGTTTCCAGTAGCTGCACTTTTTATCACAGAGTGGACACATGACAATCATCCCACCGATTTTTGGGTCACAGATCTCCTTACTGAAAACAGGGAGGGGGAGAGCAATGGGGAGAAATGTTACTGTAATGCAGAAATGAATATGACCACAATCTCAGTTCCCCTGTGACTGCATTACATCAGTGTAGTAGAAAACAATATTAACACACCATGAAAAACTTGGGCACAAATTAACTACTCGGGTTTAACAAACACCATATTATGAGCATGTTCCACAAACGTCTTTAGTTCTGAAAACTAGAAAAATGTGCCCTTTATGGTTTTGCTTGTTATACAAAAACAGAAAAAAATATTTATTGTAAATATTATGTATTATGGAAACCCGTTCCTGCCACGGAATTTGAAAAAATAAATAAATAAATAAAAAGATTTCACAATTTCACACTTTGTTTCTAGCAATTCTGAGGAAAAAGTCAGAAATACAAGATATAAACGTACAATTCTGACTTTTATCTTGCAATTCAGAGGTAACGTCACTATTCTCAATTTATGTCATAAATTGTGAATTTTATTTTCTCCGAATTTTGAATTTACATCTCACAGTTATGTCTTTCTCCTCAGAATTCAGAATCTCACAGACAGTTTATATAGTAATTCTGACTTTTTTTCCTCAGAATTCTGAATTGTGAAAGAAAGTGTCACAAATTGTGGCTTCTAAAACAGAAGAAACTGTTTATTCATTCTTAATGAATAAACTTCATTAAGATTTTTTTAGCTATAGAAAACAAGAAACATTTGACTAAAACTATCACCTAACTACCTAATGCTTATCAGAGGTTATGACAAAAGAACACAAATATTGCCATTGCATTCAATATAACAATATTCAGTGTCCAACTGCGAAACCCTTACCATAATAAAGAAACTTGCAACCTGTCTAATGGCTTAGCTTTTACAGTTATCAGGCACTGTAATATTGGTTACAAACTGCAAAGGGTTCTTAAAAAATTCATGTAACCACAGTTTCATTTGACCCATTTAACCTGCCAGTGTCACTAACCTTGTGATGTTGTCTTCGTAACTAAGCACACCATAAACAAAACAGATCACTCCCATGACTGCAGCAAAAAACAGCATTTCTGTGTAAAAGCCCAGCCAGGCAAAGTAGATACCAATCTTCTCACCATAGTACTTCCTATGACAAAATACAAACAGGAAATGTAACACTATGGTTTGATATGCTGCTCTAGAAAAGTGAAAATCATTTTCTTCTACTAAGACGTAATCTTGGAATCAGCAGTGCAATGAAGATGCATCTGCTCCAGATTTGGTTATTGCATGCATTGTGTCTGCAGTGTCCTCACTTGATCAGATTGAGCGGTTGCTCTTTGTAGAAGCAGAGGAATCGAGCCCAGTATTTGTACAGATGATACCTCTCACTCTCACACTGCATGTCTTGTGCCTTCTTCCAATACTTGCACTGAGGAACAAACAGCAATCAGATGTTGACCAAAGACACAAACATTTTTAACATGCAAAGGGACGGTCTTTGAAGATGGTAAGATTTTTTAAATGTTTTTAAAAGGAGTCTGTTGTGTGAAGTAAGGTTACATTTATTTGATCCAAAACTCAGTCAAATTGTATTATTGTGTAATATTATTACAATTTAAAATGACTATATCCAATTTTAATATATTTTCAAATGTAATTTATTTCTGTGATGGCAAAGCTGAATTTTAGTTTTGAATTTCTTTGATGAATGGAAAGTTCAAAAGAACTGCATTTAAATTAAAATAATTTTTGTTACAATGTAAAAGTCTTTACTGTCACTTCTGATAAATTTAAGGCATCCTTAAAGGAACAGTTCACCTAAAAATGAAAGTTCTGTCATTCTTCGTCAGCAGCACCACACATATGCGAGACTGACACAGAAGAGAAGAAATTGTTGAATAAAGTTGTTATTTTTGTTTTCTTTGCGCATAAGAAGTATTTTCGTAGCTTCATAACATTATAGTTGAACCACTGATGTCACATGGACTATTTTAATGATGTCCTTACTACCTTTCTGGGCCTTGAATGTGTCAGTTGTGTTGCTGTCTATGCAGGGTCAGAAAGCTCTCGGACTTCATCCAAAATATCTTAATTTGTGTTCTGAAGATGAACGAAGGTCTTACGGGTTTGGAATGGCATGAGGGTGAGTAATTAATTACAGTTTTAATTTTTGAGTGAACTATCCCTTTAATGAATACAAGTATTAGTCTATTTAAAAAATATCTTAGTAATGACCCCAAACTTTGGGAGAGAGAGAGAGAGAGAGAGAGAGAGAGAGAGAGAGAGACAGATTAAAGTGCATAAATCTCACACTCACATCATGAAGGGGATATGCTGAGGTGTAGGTGCCATTGTTCAGCAGTCGGTTAATTCCCGTCTTATCTTTCTCTTTACGGTCTTCCTTGTAGTAAGGGCAGCGGGTCAGGATGTAGTAAACGATCCTGTTGCGAGTGGAGGGAGGAAAAAATGTGTCCTTATCATCAATGAGGAAGAAGTCAACCTTGCTCTTGTCAAAAGGTGCAGTGAAGTAGTCCGGCTCTGGCCTCATGATGTTGTCTGGCAGCCGGAAAGGGTGAGTGAGCCACTCCAGAGGAACTTCTCGAGCTTTGGGAATATCACTCGCTTTAAAGGGCACTTTGATCTTTAGCACATCAGCATAGGTGGCCAACACTTCCCACGGAGCGTGAATCTTCAGATAATACGTCTTACGGTCATCCGACTCCTGCAGGGGGAGATATTTTTGAGTGGGGAAGTGTTGTATGTGATTATCAAATGCACAAAAGAGTCTGAGCTTTGATATAGTAGATATATTAAAATAAATTATTAAAAGAATAATATGTATGCATAACAGAAGCATTTTATATGCAACAATGAGGGGGCATGTGTGGCCTAGAACCTCACCGATTTATCTTCAGTCTCCAGCTCAAGACCAGCCTTCTCCAGGTTAGCTTCAAACTCTCTTCTTCTCTCCTGGAGGAAAAACATCAACTATTCATTCATTCTTTTTCTCTTTCTCGTTTTTATCATTACTTAAGTCACCAATTCATTTAGCTTTGTATCTGGTAACAGTGTGACATTTTAGGTTCTGAGGGTTGTAAACAATCTTTGAACTGTGTCTTTAGAGAAAACTCTTATTTCCCACAAGCACCGGTGACCTATGGCTACCACATCTTATCTTATGGAACACCATCTCAAACGGGTGACTCAAGGGATATGACCTTCATTAAGCAGAGAGCCTGAAAACAGATCAAACAGGTTCATCTGCAAACCCTTCAGTGTTCTCAGCGATTGAACTGAATGAAGGGTCTGGCGAGAGAGAAGTGGTTGACCCCTGCTCTTGTTTTATGCAATCAATGTTCAGCATTCAGTTTATTGTGCAACAGCTTCAATCTGACTCTGACTCACTGTTTCTCACAGTGCCTTATGACCCAGCAGACATCTCACCCCATCTCACCACTGCACGCCTACATACAGGTCCCCATCAAACTATTTTTGTACACAATGAGCAATATTAAGCATCAGTCATTGTTTGATTGCTTAACAAGGCCAAGTACAGAACATTTGGAGAGAATGTTCCATAGACACTTATAATGCGTGTATCTGGCAACTCGACTGAGGCTGAGCCCGCGTCCTCAATCACGACTCGCTCAAGGGATGAGGCCATGTAACCTTTTCACGATGATAATATATATATTTTTAATCCAAATAGCTTGCTGAAATACTTATGTGGCCGCCTCATCTATGTCAGCCATGCTGATCATGACCTGTCCCGGTGACCCTGATCGCGCCTGACCTGCCTTCGGTTTCCATTATGTAATTGTAAGTGTGTGAGAGTAGAAATGTTTGCATGTGTAAGGAGAATGTAAGTGTGTGAGAGTAGAAATGTATGCATGTGTAAGGAAAATGTATGTGTGTGTGAGAGTAGAAATGTATGCATGTGTAAGGAGAATGTAAGTGTGTGAAAGCAAGAATATATGTATGTGTAAGGAGAATGTAAGTGTGTGAGAGTGCCAGAACGAATTATGGCTTGTACGGCCCCTCATACACACCTGTATATATGTATTATATATGTATATACAGTGGGTACGGAAAGTATTCAGACCCCCTTAAATTTTTATGATCTGACTCCGCTGCAGATGTGGTCTCTTTGGACAGACGGGCAGACTCTGCACGCCACAGCTCTGGGATGAGCTCTCCCGCATCCAGAATGAGGCTGTGTGAGAGAGTGGTGGCCAGCGCCGTCAACGTCTGAGACTGCTGTGCTGAAGACAGACCGCTCTTCAGATTCCATAAAGAGCCTGAAAGACAGAGGAAAGACGAACAACTATTAACCATATGAAACACACACATATACATACATATATATATATATATATATATATATATATAGGTGCTGTCAAACGATTAATCGCGATTAATCACATCCAAAATAAAAGTTTTTGTTTATGTAATATGTGTGTTAAATATATACATGCATGTGTGTGTATTTATATATACATAATAAATATACACAGTACACACACATATATTATGTAAACAAAAACTTTTATTTTGGATGCGAATAATCGTTTGACAGCACTAATATATATATATACACATACACACACACACACGTGCATGATAAAATTAAAGTTCTGAATATTAGTGCCATACCGCTTTCTTGTCTCCATCCTTGTCGTCAACGTAGGACAGGACAAAATCGATGCGCCGTACACCATCCCTGAAGTACACGGAGTCCCTGTTCTGTCCAAGCTTGTCTATCTAGAAAAGAAAAAGAGATTCAAATCAAAAACAGTCCTACTCTCATACACAACCACATGACCATGGAGATTCAGAGATTGACTTATCATAATGAACAAATGAGACATGACACATGTGATTTCTATCAACAGTGAGGGTCTCTTTTCCAGGTGACGAAACCCCAAACAATGGTGTGAAACAGTAAGTGGAAGTGATGCTCATGAAGCGTACTGCATAAATCACTGTAGTGCTCAGGGTAGTGAACGCAGGACAAGAAATGTACTGCCGAGTAAAACATCATCCCACTAGCACTGCAGAAATAGCATCATGACAGCGTGAGAGGCTCCAGGAAGAGCAGCAGCGAGATGTGCAGAGAAAACCACAGGTACGGTATGAAGAGAACGGTTACTTCTGCAGACAGTGTGAAATCAACACGCACACAAACACACATTTACTTCGCTTCAGTATCTAAATGAGGACATTCCATAGAGCTCTGCTGTTTTTATGTACTGCTAGTTTACAATACTATAACCTAACCCTAACAGAAAAATGTTTGCCTTTGTTCAAGTTATTTTTTAGACAATTTTACAAATGAGGAGGTCCCCAAAATATGGTCAAGTAGGTATACACATACAAACAGACAGGCAAAAAAAGAATAGTGATGTACAAATATGAATTAATAAAAACACATTAAATTACAAGTGTAATAATATTATGGCACCTTTCTGAAAATGTTTTGAACTAAGAATTCTTATGATCATATATTTATATTTGATTATATTTATAAAATTTGATTTGATATATTATTATAAAAAACACTCCAGCTTTCCCAGACACACAAAAAAAAAAAACATAGATACCAAAACCGCTGTCATTAATAAAATTATGCAAATTGTTAGCAAGATGTGTTGTTTTTCACTCTTGCGAGACATACACATACCTTACATCATGCATAAAAATCCCACAAGCACAGAGGAGGAGAAAATACCAACTGTACCTTCAAATATGCTGCTCCAGACAGTAAAACAAGCCAAAACAGATAAGTCACAAAAACGCTTGCCTGCTTGGCACGTCTTTCTAAATAAGACCATTCAGAGACTGAAACCGGAAAAGCCATTAAACTAATAAAGTGGAGGCACAGTGCCATTTGTGGAGGCATTTTATTGCGTTCTAATAATTAAATTTGAGAGAGCTGACAGGAGCACTTATTTTCAAACAGGTACTTTGTTAATCAGCACTACTGGTCAGGTGGGACCTTTGTATGCTGCTCTGTTAGGAAAAGACATGGAGGATTATTGATCACTATTGATGTCAAAATGACAATCACAGACTTCCAAACAATCTATAAAGCAACAACAAATCACCAAAACCATTTCGACTACAAGGATTCCTAAGAATATCTAGCTATACAGTTTCACATCATCTAATATCTGCACTCATTCAAATTAATCTCTATTAAGCTGCATACCTCAAACACTACACATTAGGGTCATCATATAAAGGCAAAGGAGATGAGAAAGCACTGGTTTTGTTGGTCCCATCCGAGCTGTTGAAGTGTAAAAACAGAGTGACAAAGCATTGTGTGTCGGTGTAGTCCAGTCTCAATGTGTTCATTATCAAGAAAATAATAAAAAATAAAATAAAATTCTAATATTGACTAAATACACCATGTTAATTTAAGTTATAACAAAAATAACTTTTCATTATGGATGTAGCAGTTAGTACTGAACAAATGTACGTAATGTTCAGCCCTAAAAGTTTAATGTTTAACATCATTTAAGGTACAATTTAGTCACTTAAAGCAAACTCTAACAAAGTCAGCAACAATCTCTCCCAGGACCTGACCATGAATGGCGTATGCATACCTCAGTTTGAGCAGTCATAACTTTCATAAAGTGCTCCAGTGGTGAGAGCATTTACAAAATGTCCATGTTGTAAGCAGTGTTGCAAATGCTAACTGTGAGCTGCACACTCTCTCACACAAAGACCTCTGATAAGAACGGGTCACTCCCCCTTACTGCAGACAACTCGGGGACACATGCCTTTGCCTGGAGACTCTCCTGTGGTTATCTGGTTTATACTGTTCTGGGACTGAAATCACAGTGCTGCTCATTGAAATACTTCATCATTTAATACAAAATCAACTCTGGATGCCCCCTCATTAAACTGATATCACAAGGGTGACTAATTCCACAACCTTGCAGTTAGACTTTTTATTTATTTTTTTATCTGCATCCAAGTTTAGTGAGATTATGAAACAAAAATGTACCATTGCATCTAGCTTGCCAAAACACTCCTTTATTGCTGACTGCACTAAGATGAAGAAAGTATCATTAGCAAAGTGCACCAGCAAGAGAAACAGAGCAAAGGCATATTGAAATCTATTGATGCTTGCTTATATGGTTTCAAGTAAAAATGCCTAAATCAATGCTTAAACGAACACTCCACTATTTTTGAAAATAGGCTCATTTTCCAACTCCCCTAGAGTTAAACAGTTGAGTTTTACCGTTTTCGAATCCATTCAGCCGATCTCCGGGTCTGGCGGTAGCACTTTTAGCTGTAGCTTAGCATAGATCATTGAATCTGATTCAACTGAAAATAGGCTTATTTGAAGTTAACTAGCTGGGACTATTTTCAGGCGCTGCGTAATATCATTGCGCCTGCTGCACCCATGGTGCGGCAGCAAAGTTCCTTGATTATTACACCGGAATGAGAGTATGAGTTCCTAGCCATATCGGCCTATAAAAATCGCAACTTTTCATTTTCTGTCGGTCTTAGTACATGATGTAACTACAGAAGAGTCAAGTTTTAAATAGGAAAAATATAGAAACTCTTTGGTCATTTTTGAGCGAGATGCTAATGGTCTAATCAGATTCAATGATCTATGCTAAGCTACAGCTAAAAGTGCTACCGCCAGACCCAGAGATCGGCTGAATGGATTTGAAAACGGTAAAACTCTAGGGGAGTTGGAAAATGAGCCTATTTTCAAAAATAGTGGAGTGTTCCTTTAAGACTGAGGAACGTGAGTACTTTTAATGCAGCAGAACAATACACTAAAAAGGTCCAATGTCCATCTCAGGAACAACAAACTTCTCTTCACCTTTATAATAAACATTAACATTTTCTTAACACATGCAAGTTTGAATATATTCAGACAGAGTTCCTTTAGTAACGGAAAACACAGGTCAAGAAAAGTCATGAAACCTAATGTCAACTTAATCATATAAACTTCATGGTTATTTCTAGATATATTTAATAGATATATATATTTAATTATGTTATGTTTTAAAATATCCCTTATAGTAAACCCATTTTGCAAGCCATAATAAAGTTTGATTTGTGGGTGAAATTATTTTGAGTTGGTTCTTTTCAACGAATTATTCAATATCATTCACAAAATGTTTTTTAAACGTTTTTCTTCAGTAACCACAAATGTCCTTTTTGTTCACAAATTCATTCATCAAAAAGAGTGGGAACTTTTTATGTTGCTTTTGGTGAGCATTGTAAAAGTGTATTAGTGGGAGACAGACCAATCCATCTGACCTGTCTTTAAGAGCTATACTTAGACATTTGCAACTTCAAATTGGCCCAACAAAAGCTTTACAAGAGAGATGTGAACATTCGCCAGTATTTTAGATCAGTAGGGAGACCTCGTGGTCTGAGTATATTCACACATTTAAACTACCCCAACCTCAGAATGTGACCTATTTACCGCATTACAAAATACCACTCAAAGCAGTAATCTGTTGCTTTTTCAGATTTCTGAATGAGATGAAAATATCTGACATCTTACCTCCCGGTGACCAGGCAGCTGTGTCCCTCGGTCAGAGATGGAGTTAATGCTGCCATTATTACCTGCAAAAGACACAGAGGAAATGACATCAGCATCAAAACCACAAATGCGATATAGTCTACAGGAAACATGCCTACCTAGAAGAATACTTCAACACACTCTATAGCTTGTCACTATAGCAGTACCGTTAAAGGGACAATTTTGTACCTTATTTAACCCTAAAAGGTTCAAAGTAGTACCTTAAAGGTAAACAATTCTACTCTTTAGTATTAATATGCAGGTTTCTACTCTAGTCTTGCCTGTAAGAGTACTGCCCAAGTGACAAGCTGTTGTACCCTTAAAAGGTACGATTATTTCACATTTGCACAAGCAGTGTATGAAAACAGGAAATATTCGGTTACGTAAAAATAGGGCTTTTTCAGTACAGTAGTTCCTGCCCACATATACTGCAGCTCAGACCAAAAGGAGAGCAGTATTAATGTGAAGTACAGACTAGGGGTATTCAAATGACAGCTAAATTGATTCATTCCACTGTGCTTCAGGAGGCATATTACATTTTCAGAATCTTTTATTTATTTTTTATTTATTTACTTTGCAGTACAGCAGCTCCAACTTAAATAAACTCAGTGTTTTTGAGTGTTCGATTTTATAGCTGCTGAAGTGAAATGTCACACAACACATCATTTGATCAGCAGTACATGTCATTTCTGTCCTTGCTGCACTTTTGCTCTCTCCCCCACACACTTTGGTAGACATTCCATTGGTTAGACAGGCAACCATTTTAATGCTGAGCAGCCAACTTTGTGGGATAAAAGCACTTCCTGTGGGGAACAATCAGGCGGAGTGTTCTCTTTTTATACCAGGATAGACACATATTGCCTGGCTAGTACATGAGCTCACAATTAGTGAGCAGTCTCTAATGCTGCCAATCAAATCAGAGATAGTTAACACTGAAAATTAGCGCAAGTAAATATATGTTCCATCATTAACAGATTAGATTACAGTCTCAGACAGGTTGTTCTGTTAATTTGATTGTGGTTTATTTAAGTTTGATTTGTCAATTATGCTGCGTCATTCTTCAATTATTTTGGAACAACACTGATATCAATTTAAAAAACAAAAGCACAAAGCAACACAGCATTTCTGATAAAAGTAGCTGTAAACATACACTCATATCCAGCTTTACAGCACAGGCATGAATCTTGACACGTTGACAAACCGAAGGTTACAGCTATGAGGCAATGGAATTAAATAATGGACAAGGGCATCAACATTTCCTTAAACATCGCTAGTATTTGGAGCAAGATTCACATTTCCAAATATATGGCGCCACAGACAAGCACATTTGTCACAATGTGATCTCTGAGATGCCGATGAAGCATAATAAAATGCAGAATAATAATGCATATGAAGCAGAAACACAGGAGAAGATGAAAACGTACAGACAAGCAGCACACACAGCTCTGTCCGTACCTGCCTGAAAGGTCCTCCGGTAGCCTGTCAGAACGGCACAGCCATCTTAACCCATAAGATAAATAAACAGGTGTGTAAAGATGGAAGTAATATTTTAAAACCACACAAGCAACTTATTCTACATGTATTTCTCTAGAGGGAAAATAACACATGCCATGGGTAACACTTTGAACTAGTGCTGGGAGATACACTGGGTCATACAGTATACAGTTACACAACCGGTATGACTTTTTTTTTTTTTTTAAAGGACAAGTGCCTAAGCAAGGTAGACAGGGCTCTGACTGCCTTCAGAAAAGTTTAGATGTTTTTTTTCTTTTCGTCTGAACTCTGTATAATGCATATGAAAAGAGTTACATAAGAGCAGCATTGCTTTGTTTACAGCGATAACCAAGGAAAAAGTAGCTATGTTTCCATCCACCTATTTTTATGCACAGTTTGGGATATAGCAAAAAAAACAAAAACACTGGATAGAAATGCTAAGATGCGCATAAATTCTAAAAATGTACATAAAAAAAACTTACGCACTCAACTGAGTCGGATACATTTCTTATCCGCTAAGAAAACATGCACCTAAACTATGCCGGAAACACTTTTACCAAATAAATTCCTTAATGTGCAGTTTGGACCCATAATTTTCACCCATACAATGTTTTGTTGGCTATTGCTACAAATATACCTGTGCGACTTAAGACTGGTTTTGTGGTCCAGGGTCACATTTGGCGAAACTTAATCAGGAAGTGACAATTTTGTTCTCTTCAACTCACTAAATGGAAATTGCAAATTTGTAAATGCTTTATGCAATATTCCAATTTTGCGCATAGGTTTAATTCGTAACTTTGGATGGAAACATAGCTACTCTATGACTGCTGTTACATAAGCGCCACCTGCTGCCAGAGAGTGAATCTGCGTTCTTTCATCCTGTTTGACGTTTTTGTTTTGTGCAGATATGTTTTATGTAGTACAAAGCTAAAGTCAGAACATTCTGTTTTTGCCTTAAATTGTGAAATTCTACAATCTCATTTACTTATATTTTTTTGGCTAGTGATTAAAATGTAGTGTTCCTGCAACTAATTCATGCATTCTGATTCATATAAAGGCCCATTCAGTGTAAAACCACCACAATCCTTAAAAAAAAACAAAAAAAAAACAACAACAACATGCTAAAAATGTTTGGTCATTTCCAAAATCACAAAAATGTGCACTGGTAAACAGGTATAGGTCTGGTCTCTATCGTTTCCATTCTATGAGAAGACCAACATTTGCTCTGAGCAGAGCCAACAGGTGCTGTGGTCTCGCAGGCTTCCTCTGATCGTGCTATTATGGGTGATGATTAGGCCTACTGGGAAAGAAGGCTTTGATAATGGCACCTTTGTGTAATACTTTGAAGCAGAGAGGGAAAAAGCAGCAGTAGTGTTGATAAAACCTGTCTGAATACAAACCTGTGGCCCCCACAGTAATTTCCAAGTAAATACATCAACAGTTTAACTGAATCCATTTTTTTTTTGGTTCAGCAGAACGACCGAGATGGGCTGAGCTTGTTCAGCAGATGGGCTGAAAAGATTTTCACAATTCCTCATGTATCACACGACTCGCTATAGTAGGAATATAAAGTGAACTGAATTTTTATCAGCTGAATGAACTGAGCTTACATCATTGCACTATTAATGCATGACAAAACACATAACTCTCAACAGGAAAAGTGTGTTAGGAAATGCCATAGCTATTCTGTGTGTGTTCTCCGACCTGATTCTATTCCACATTAACAGCAACTAAACCCCAATTCCAAACCACATCTTGTGTCCAGCACAAAGTCTTTTGAAAAAGCTGCACAATAACATAGGAACTGTATCTTTATCAACAGGATGCAATTGTGTCTCTGAAGAATTGAGGACATTGTCATCTCCACCAAAGTCTTACGTAGCAAAGCAAATAATAACTACACTGCGAGGTCAGGAGCAGGACAGTAAATACATTTACTGATAGATATATTCATAACCTAAAACAGAAACAAACACCTCTTAGTCACGTACACACAAACAAAAGCATAAATATTCATACAGACTGAAAACTACTGAAGGAAAACCCTGTATCGTGAATCTTTTTAATATTAAATATGTAGAATATTTAATTTTCTTATCTATCTGTTGATGCTCAAGAGTCATGATTATTTAAAAAAAGATTAAGTTTCCTTAAAACAGAATGATCCCTGTAAGAGTTTATTAATGACTTACAGGGTCAACTACTTGTTCATACAGTATGGCTATCAAAGAGAAAACTAAATTAAATAGCCTGTTACCATATCAACAACTCTCACTCTCTTTCTCACTTTCTCCCAGTTACTGACAAGCGTAGCCTCACTTGTTGGCTGTTGTCTGCAAGTGGTGCGACAATTAAACCGCTTTGATACATTCTTTTGAGAAAAAAAATCTAGCAATTTTATTTGATTTCAATTAAACTCTGGAAACATTTTAGTAGAGTAACTCTGTAACTAAATTAATCTCTATTACCACAAGAGAGGTCAAGGGAAGAAAACCACTCATGCAAACACATAAAAACAAACACAGCAGGCATGGTGTGACAGGGAGGACTCTGAAATCTATTCAGGGTCCACATGGGTGTCAGTGTTGCACTCTCTTAAGAGGATACCATGACGTCTGCCCTGATAAGAGACTGTCTTCTGTGCGGAAGCCCAGGGTGCACTGATAAACACAGAAGAGACAGCGGAACGATTCACACTGTCAAGACAGTGTATTATGCAGCCCATTTGAAAAGCAAAAGTCAATAAATGTTTTTCCGCAGGACAGAAATAACAAAACTTTGCACTGACTAAATTACTTTCTAATGATTAGAGCTCAGAACGATAAACTTCAAAGTCAGCTTCAATAATGGCATTTTTACGATCTATTTGTATTATAAACAATTGTAATGTGTGCCTTGCCAGGGGACACTGGTTTCTCTCAGTTTTTTTCCTCTCACTTTTGTGTGTCCTTTGGTTAGCTCACTGGTGGCACTAAGGGATGATTTCCATAAAGCTGTTTTGAAACATTATGCACTGTGAAAAATGCTATACAAGTTCAAATTGAAGTGGGTCAGCCCATCTCATCTCAAAAATCATAAAGTTGGTTGCTTGACCATTTTAAATTTTTCTATTTTTTTAATAATTAAATCTAAATCGTTTTGTGAACATTCAGTTGGACTTGATGAATCCATCTCAAGTTGTCCAATTAAGGTTGCTTGACCGTTTTTTCCTAATTTTGTTTGAGTAATTACCTCTATGTAATTGTATTGTAAAACCACCATTTTCTTTCTTTTACTTTGTTTAACCGCAGTAGCTGTCTTTGCGTTATGGTCCACAACAAATTTTGGTTAAACAGACGCTATCAGCAACCTCCATATCTCAGCTTTGAGCTTCTTTACTTATCGCTAGATCATATTACAAGGTACATGTGGATATATAAACATTTAGACTTAAAGGGGTCATATGATGTTGCTAAAAAGAACAGTATTTGGTGTATTTGGTGTAATGAAATGTGTTTATGCGGTTTAAAGTAAAAAAACACATTATTTTCCACATACTGTACATTATTGTTTCTCCTCTATGCCCCGCCTTTTTGAAACACGTCGATTTTAACAAAGCTCATTGGTCTGAAAAAGCGAGGTGTGCTGTGATTGGCTAGCTATCCAGTGCGTTGTGATTGGCCGAATAACTCAAGAGTGAGACGGAAATGTTACGCCCCTCACATACCGTTGATGCCGTGTCCGGCCGGAGCGACAAGACATAAACATTAAAACACATTACAAACGAGGTATTTGTTGCATCCAGTGCGGACATAATTACTGATTATAATGACTTATACTGTCTTTTTACGCGTTGCATTGCATCGCGCCGCGTAAACATAAAACTCTGTCTGCATTTGTGATCAGAGAAATGACAAACAACAAGTGCTACTCTACACTGCCCAAAACTCGCGTTTGAATCATCAGTGGCAAATCCTTTAAATTAAAACGTACTTACGTGAGTCAGAACTGCCGGCATTTTAGTCTAATGTTACTCTCCCAGGATCAGTAAACAGTCCTCCATAAAATGCACTGCTCACATCTGGATATTTGGGTTAAACTGTTTTGGAACAGTGTTGTAAATACAACTTAACCACTGATTTATAGTCGTGTCCTCTTTTGGAAGACCAAACAAAATAGTTTCGCTTTCACAACGAAAAACACAGCGGCCTAGCGTGAGCAGATACCCCGGCTTAGCGTGAGCTGAGGCCGGGCTCGAGTGAGCTGAGGCGGCGAGGTCGTGAACGGTGCGGCCGGGCGGATCCGACGAATGAGCGGCAACCACATGTGACGGACAAGTGTTGTTAAGTGAACAACTGTAACACCGTCACCCTCTCTAGATGAATTCTTGACTCCTGAAAACCGGATTTTAAGGAGATTCTGGCATTTTTTGAAAGGTATTTGAGCAACTTTCTGTTTGTTTGATTTTTCTTGTAAGATTTCGTCATCTGTTTGATCTTCAGTCAAGAAAGTTTTTGTCTGTCTTCATCTTTTCATGACGGACAATGTGTTGTGAACTACTGGTTCATTTTCTGTACTGTTTCTTCATTTTTAAGCAACAAAATACAACCAAAAAAGAATCATTGGTTAAGATTTATTTACAACAGAACAGCACAACCCAGATGTTCAAATTTGTGCAACGCATTTTATGGACGAGTTTTTTTAACCTAGAAGAGTACAAGGCTGGCTGTGCACAAAGGCTATTTCTAAAAAAAAAAAAAAGGGGTCAATTCCGACTTTGCTATGACAATCTTGCGCTTCTGAATCAGCGACTGTAATGTCTATGTTTTGTTATTGGTTTAAGTATTTGCTATTGACTGTTCAAATGCGGAGTTTTGCGCAGCGCAGAGTAACGCGTCGTGTGTGTGTGTGTGAGAGGGGAACAGGGTCAAAGGAGAGTGAACTGGCTGTCAGAAATCATCGCACGTCAGCTGTCTTAACCGCGGCTTGTGTACTGCATCATCACTGTGTCTGTCACACAACTCTGTTGCCCTTTCGGGCTTGAACTGATGGTAAAACTAACAACATTATTAACTGTCTTGATATTTACTTTGAAAGCTGACGCTTGCGATTATGGTAAGGGGCGTTACATTTCCGACGCGTGCTTGTTAGGGCTGTGTATCACCAAAGTCACGATACGATACGTATCACGATACAGAGGCCATGATATGATACGCATCACGATACATGACTGCACTGAATTTCACCTCAGCAGAATTTAGAAGTGTAAAGCTCTGTTTCGGGGATTACGTCTCTTTATATCAGGCAACCCCGTTGTGTTCCTCTGCGGCCAGATTATTAACAGATGCTCTATTCATTCTTTTTTAGAAACCTTGCACTTTTCGACTAAATTTTAAACGTTGTAAAATTAAGCGTGGTCCACTGCTGCACACGTGCCACAGTATCGATACAGGGCCAGCTGTATCGATACTCGTATCGTCAAATCTCTGTGACGATACATCGTCGTATCGATATTTTGAACACAGCACGAGTGCTTGTGGTGTTCGGCCAATCACAATGCACTGGGTCAGCTGGCCAATCAGAGCAGACTGCGCTTGTCAAAGGAGGGACTTTGTTGAAAACGACGTGTTTGAGAGAGGCGGGGCATAGAGGACCTACAATAATGTACAGTATTTGAAAAATAATGTGTTTTTTGAACAAAAGCATGTCAACATATTCTGTTACACCAAATACAAAAAATACAAAAAATAATTATATTTAAAATAGCATCATATGACCCCTTATATTTAAATTTCAGTTACTGTGCACGTTAAAAACAATGTATAGTCTTTTCTACGCCCGTGTTTTGCGCATCCCTAGATAAAGATAGCTTAGGGTTCCAAATTTAGAGTCAATTTACAATGGGAAAAGATTGAAGTCTCAACCCCAAGTCTTTACCTTGGTAAATATAGTGTACACGTTGGACTTAAATTCTAAGTCTAAGAAACAATGCATACATGTACTATGAAATATGCTCTAGAGATTCGTTTTTTTTTTGTTTCAGACCATCCCGAGCTGAGATATTGAGGTTTAAACATCCATTTGAAATTTTGCCTATATAATTTTGTTTAAAAAAAAAAAAGTCCCCTGAAACAAAAAAGGCTGCTGTGGTTAAACAGTTTAAAAAAAAAAAAAAAACATGGTGGTTTTGCAATACTAATACACAGAGTTAATCACTCAAACAACATTAGGAAAACTAAAAATGGTCCAGCAACCTCTATTGGACCACACAAGACAGATTAACCTTCCAACTCAATGTTTACAAGAATCTAATTGGATTTAATTGTTTTAGCATATCTGAAAAGTGTTTTATATATATAATTTAAAAAGACTATCTAAAACTAAACACAAATACACTGATGCATAGTCATGATATGCATGCTGCAATAACAATGATTATGATAAGAAGTAATATATTACCATGCTTCAATTACTTCCGCAACAGGAAACTTTACAGCTAAAATGAAATAATGTGCAATATGGACATTTTTAAGCATCTATAATGAGCTGGCCATTAGCTTAGCTGTGGGTTTTAGGATGATTCTCTACGAGAAGTTAAAACTGTTTTAGAGCTGCTTAAATGTATTTTAGGCCAAGCTCTGCTGCTCTTGTTCATTTTACTGTGAATTGAGCACCTATAAAATCAAACTTATATTAAACTCACAAATCTTGTAGTGCACATTTAGCTGTGATTGTATGCTTGTAGCAGTGATATAAAACTTTTCATATGAATATAACTAACTTGGAGTTTCAAGGCATTTCAGTGTGAAATAATTTTGAATATTAATAAAATACAGTGCAAGTAAAATTTATCATACAAAATTGTCACTGTAAATCCCTCTGTTTTTTCAATCACACATCACAGACATAATGTGAGCCATGGCAGGGCAGTGCCACAGTCCCAGTCGGGAAGAATAATCAAATTATTATCCAGTGAATCACCTATGATCAGTACACAGATTAAACAGTCGCAGTGACAGGCAAAGCAGGAGGGATTAGCCTGGGGTTCCCCTGAAATATCATTTAGATGATTTCCAACGAAAAAGGCCACTTTCCATACATTCTAGTTTTTCTCTTTCCTTTCAACCACTCCCTCCTACAGAAAACACATTCATGACCTCAGCAAACCTCAGCATCAGTTAGAAGAACTGCAGAGCAAAATAATAATAATAATAATAATAATGTCACTTGGGCATACAAACCCACACACCAACGTGAACACAAGTCATGGACATAAACATACACCTACATGCCTCACACTTAATAAAAGTCTCCATCAAACCTTAATGCTTTAACAACAATTACTCAACCTGTGCAACAAAAAGCCTCAGGGTGACAAGTGCCAAGCACCAGACCCAGGACTGATTCATTTCAGCTCTGCTCAGCTCAATAATTCATTTTACATTATTAAAAAACAAGATGAGTAATATCGAGTAGGATCAAACTAAACTGTTGCATGACACATCTGTCACATCCCTGAGCTAAACCGTCAGCGCAGGATATTCGGTTCAGATAATACTCTATTTAGTTGTCATGGGGGAAAACCAGGAACGTCTTCCCAGGCCCCATGTCAAGGGGGCCCCCCTTAAGGTCCTCTATTGCAAACTAGCCTACCATTATCTGGAATGGTACCAGATAAAATAAGGATTTTGCTATTTGTTTGATGCAATACTGCAAAATCGAGTACAATACATTACACTTTTCAATACTGCACTGATTAAAATACTACTCGCTTCTTTTTTTATATCACATTCTTAAAGGAGGAGCCTTAAGTTTTCTAGTCTAAAAATGTCCTGTGTGCAGTGGAACTGAATGAACTCTGAATGAGTCACAACGACACCAGACATTTGAACTGATTCAACATAAGGACTGTTTGATTCTCAAGTTAAACTGGGACTGAGGCCAAGCCATGTGGCAAGACAGAGTAACGCGAAAACGAATTAAAGGGGTGATCCAAACTGCTCCTAAAACTGCTATTCATTCAAAGATACTACAATAAAATATCACGTTTCTCTGTACTTTTTCTAAATCCGTAGGTCATGCAGGTAAATGAACACCAGGACTCTTTTACTGGATTTAAACCCTGTTAAAACACGCTTTGGTAATGCAGGATACAGCACGGTGCCAGTTAACAACAGTCTCTGGGTGTAGACCGCAACTTTTCCGTGTCTTGCCATTTCAGGAACTTAGGCTATTTTAATTTGAGCTCAAAACCGCTTATCTGAATATATGTACTTTGTTTATACTTCTTTATTTTGTTATGGCGAACTGACCCAGCGAACATGTAGCAGTGTATCTTTTATCATCGGTCTTTGATTCTGCCAGCTGATTGAACGCAGAGGTTATTTATTTCTCTTGTCCTTTACCGCTGACAACAACTCCCAGGAGACTGACCTTCTCATTATTATGATACTGAATAATACGGCATATTACTGTTACACAGCTGTTGTAGCAGTTTCCTTACCTTCAATCTGAGAATCCAGCGTGTTGGACATTTCTATCAAAGTGGCTTCTTTCGTCTTCCCCGTTAACCTCTTCATGATAAATTCGTGCGTTTCTTTTCTCCCACGGGACAATTACAAAAAAGAATCTGTATGTCAACCAGATTAATCTGTCTTTTTTTTTTTTTTTTTTTTTGGCTGCCGAACGGGATTTCCGCCTTCAAGCTTTAGGATGTTGGTAGGGAGAATGTAGCGGCTAAACCGTGAATCCCTCGCTCGCTTTCTTCTCCTAGACCTAGAGGAGAGGAGCAGCAGCAGCAGCGGCGGCGGCGAACTGATGTGGTGGTGATGATGATGAGGTCTTAAAGGGGAGTGGCTTTCCGTCGGCATACTGACATAAAATTCGTGAAAATTATTACCGGGCTCTGGGGTCACGCTCTTTATTTCCTGTGTCTATGTTAAATCACATTACTACACGGTATATATTTTTGATTAAATTCAAAATTAATCTGTAAAAGTATACACCTCTATTTGTTATGTTTGTCCTGTAAAGGAGACTTGGGATTATGATTCTTACTATAAGCAGTCCTACATATCCATTACGTCAATTAATTTTTAATGAAAGCACATTGGGTCAGATCGCACGTGCTTCTATCTTAGAGCATTTGCTCTCTCTGCTGGTCATTGAGCAGATGGCAAAATGTTGTGGGTGTGTCCCAATCTCCTATAGTACCATGTAAAGTGGACTTAAAAGGGTATTCTGCCGTACTACATTCTAAAAATGTTCTAAAAGAAGTCGTTTTTGGCATCTATGGTTCCATGAAGAATATTTAACATACATGGAACTTTTCCAACCCACAAAAGATTCTTCAAAGTGGTAAAAAGATCTTTAGATTAAAAAATAAATAAATAAAGTTCTTCATACTAAGAAACAAATGGTTATTTTAAGAACTACACTTAATATATGAAATGAATATGAAATCTTCAATAGTTTACATACTAGTCATTACGCACCACCTATGTTTATACATTTAGGTTAATTGAATAAATATGGTGAACATTATTTTGTTTATTACGACACCTTAATTAAATTAAGCCCATTTATTTTCACATTAAACATCACAACATTAATTGATTACATTAAATTTCGGCGTTTAAATAATTGAAATATTTATTAAATATTATATGAATATTGAATAATATTATATATTTAATAATATCTTACATAAACTCATTTGTATTATATAGATTTATATATTTGAACGTAACTGACTTGTATATTATATTATATTATATTTGAGAAGAAGTGAACGACGCAGCTGTTTTCTTTCTTATAGGAAAACTACATTACCCACAAAGCAACTCTTCGTGTAGCATGCGCATTCACTACAGCTAAAGGTATGCTATTGCTTATGTGAACCGCCAGATACGAGTCAAATAACGGAGTAATCTTCAAAATATGAATGCTATATTTAAATACTTTTGTTATCGAAAACTCTGTAGGGTCTAAGGGCGTTTTGAGTTTCTTTAGATCACGATAATTATCACATCTAGGCGGATTAACGTTAGCTGACTGCGTGCCGTTAGCTGTCTTAACATGCGTGATCAGATTATGTTTCTGTTCACTGACATTTCATTCAAGTAATTATTAATTTTGTTAAATGCCTGTATTTCGCTAATTTCTTTAATTTAATAAGCACACAGACATACAAAGATATGCTGATTTTGTTTCATACACGCTTAGGAAGAAGAGGACAGCCTCAAGACTACCGCTATGGCCATAACTTTGACCAGTAACGTTACTCTGGACTCAGTGATTTTTGCTAAAATGACCAGCTCGCAGTACCTGTGAGTCTACAAGCCCAGTAAGATACCTGCATGCACCCATGCGTCGTTCCAGCTGTATAACAAATCCTCCGCTTTCTTCAGAGTATTGCCATTATGAAGCATACAAACGTCTTCATATTAAAGAACCACAGCGTCACATGGATTTTAATCATGGTTAATGTATTGGAATACCTGTGCTAAATACATGTAATGTAATTATATTTAATTGGTGAAGATCTCACAGCTTGTTTTTCATTCTGGTTCCTACAGGTGTCTCAAGATCCTTTAGGTGAGCGAGTAGTTCTTCATCTATTCTTTTCTCTCCATTTGTCCGTTTATCTTTCATGAGTTGGTAAAAAATAAAGTTCAAGAACACCATTCTATTTAGTTTATTAGCACTAGTGTTATGTGCAGTCAATACTTTACATTTACTTTGTTACTCTTGGAGAAACTGTCAGGAGATTCTGGTTTAGTGCATCTCTAAGCAAGTATTTCTTAATTCTTTTATCTTCAGAGCTTTCAGAAGATCTCTGAGCATAAATATCCAGCTTCTAATTGTATCACTTGACCTAACCTCAGAGCAGCAGCAAAATGAGTGACTCAAACCGCAAAGAAAAGGATGCCCTCAACAGTCTGTCTAATAGAGATACAATTGAACTCCCAGATGATCTTTCTCTGAGCGACTCTGACTCTGAGGAGCCCACTGAGCATTTCAGCAGAAAGGTTGAGGACTTGTCATCGTCCTCAGAGGATGAAGACGAGACTCTGCAGCATGTCCAGTCTGTTCCTAAAGAAAATCCCACCTTCAGACTGACAGGTGGGAGCTCTGGTTTCTGTGATCGGAGCAGGGGCATCTTTGCACAGTTGGATAGTGCTGCAAAGCTCACGTCTAAAGATCTAGGTGAAGACAACATCCTTGATGGCACGTTCACCCGTCCTGCTCCACCATCACCTCCACAGGAAGCTCAAAGGAAGTGTGGTGGCCAAGAGACAACCAAAAAACAACCTCCAGGCAAAAAACTCCCTGACTACCTTGCAAACCCTGAGCGCTGGACCCACTACAGTCTTGAAGATACCGCTGACACCAGTGATAGAAAGAATAGTCAGATCACTCATCAGTTTATACAAGGTCTTCAAGACAGCAGGTCTCAGAAAGATGTGCTTGAGACTTTCACTCCAGCTTTCAACCAGGATCATGGTAGCCCCAGTGAGAATAAGATTGTGTTCACTAAACCCAAGATTAAAGATCAGAGTGGGAGCAAACTTGATCATGCTAAGAAGGAAGAAGTTGAACTTCAACATTTGGATGACAGACAAGTGACTGATGAAGGAGAGGATGGTCCTCTTCATCGCCGCTTCAGCTCATGGGAGAATAAAGAGAAAAAAAGAAAGTGGAGGACTGAAATAGAGGAGGAAGACAAAAAGGTGTCCAGTGTTGTCTTCAACAGTAGCAAGAAAGTAAATCGCAAACACTTCCGTAAAACACTTGAAGATGATGGTGTCACAAAGTGAGCACTTTGTACATAAATACTTAACTACTGTTTTAATGTTTATGCTTTTCAAACATACTATTTTGTATAGAGTTGTTTGACTTTCCATGTATCTAAGTTTTTGTTGTATAATCCATGAAAAGCTCTTGCTGTCATACTGTACAGGCTCAAAGGATAGTGAAACAAAATAACCCACATATCTATAGATTGAAAACCTGTCTGCAGCCTATCAATGTTTTAGTGTGTGTACAATTATTCTGAGGTGTCGGATTTTTATAACCACTTTTCATGAATAAATTTGACTCAGTTATGTACTTTGAGATCACATTTAATAAGTGTGCTTTGTCTTAATGTTGATTGATCATGAACAATGCAAATTAGAAGAGGAAATCTGCTTCTGGTACAGTAAGTAACAAGGCTATAACAACCATGGGCATTGAGTTTGACAATGACAACTTCCTACTTTTAAAAAAAAAATTTAAATTAAATTAAATGGCCAGTGCTTATTATATGGAGAGGGGAAAAGTATTATTTTCAGGGTTCCTACTGTCCTGCTAAACCAAATTATAGAAGCATAATTTTCAGACCTGGAAGTCATGGAAATTACAAGATTACTATTACTAAGATCTAAGATACAATAAACTGTGAAGCTCTGGTGAACTCCATGCCCAAGAGGGTTAAGGCAGTGCTGGAAAATAATGGTGGCCACACAAAATATTGACACTTTGGGCCCAATTTGGACATTTCACTTAGGGGTGTACTCACTTTCGTGGCAAGTGTTTTAGACATTAATGGCTGTGTGTTGAGTTGTTTTGAGGGGACAGCAAATTTACACTGTTATACAAGCTGTACACTCAAAGTGTCATTTCTTTAGTGTTGTCACATGAAAAGATATAATAAAATATTTACAAAAATGTGAGGGGTGTACTCACTTCTGTGAGATACTGTATACGCGTTATAATTTTGAAAATACAGAGGAGTGACAACTCTAACCACCTCTGCACATTCAGAGCTAACTGTTGACGGTAATGTCTGTGTAGTGTGTGAACTGCTTTAGAGGGGTCATATGATGCAATTTCAATTTTTCCTTTCTCTTTGGAGTGTTACAAGCTCTTGGTGCATAAAGAAGATTTGTAAAGTTGCAAAGACTAAAGTCTCAAATCCAAAGAGATATTCTTTATAAAAGTTAAGAGTCAGCCACGCCTACCTAAAACGGCTGGTTCTAACACGCCCCCACATGTCTATGTCACTATGTGGGAAGATTTGCATAACGCCGCCCAAATGTTCCCGCAAAGAAAGAAGGCGTAACTTTTATTCTCGCTGTAGTATTGTTGCCACTGCCGCCATGTCATGAAGACGCTGTGTGCTTCGTTGTGAAAGAGAAACTACTTTGTTTGACCTTCCAAAAGAGGACGATATCTGCATCGTCATGCCAGGAAATACATCAACTTAGTGCTGTGGATCGCCGGATCGGCTTTCACTGTGGACCAAGCGGAGTCCAGCCCGGGGTCGTCACATGTGGTTGCCGCTCCTTCGTCGAATCTGCCGGCCACACCATTCTCAAGCCCGCCGCCTCTGCTCACGCTAGGCCGCCGTGTGTTTCGTTGTGAAAGCGAAATTACATTGTTTGGTCTTCCAAAAGAGAACACGACTAGAAATCAGTGGTTAAGTTGTATTTACAACACTGTTCCAGAACAGTTTAACCCAAATATTCAGATGTGTGCAGCACATTTTATGGAGGACCGTTTCCTGATCCTGGGAGAGTAGACTACAATGCCGGCTGTTCTGACTCACAGACTGTAAG